ATTCGTCCATTTCAAATGTCCTTGAAATGTGAACAATGTACTTGACTGCAGGGTTATTCAAGTCTGCAGTTATTTCCTAATGTATCTCTGAAAGCATTAATTTTTTTTTTTTTGAGACAGAGTCTCGCTTTGTTGCCCAGGCTAGAGTGAGTGCCGTGGCGTCAGCCTACGCTCACAGCAACCTCAACTCCTGGCTCAAGCGATCCTTCTGCCTCAGCCTCCCGAGTAGCTGGGACTACAGGCATGCGCCACCATGCCCAGCTAATTTTTTCTATATATATTAGTTGGCCAATTAATTTGTTTCTATTTATAGTAGAGACAGGGTCTTGCTCTTGCTCAGGGTGGTTTCGAACTCCTGACCTTGAGCAATCCGCCGCCTCGGCCTCCCAGAGTGCTAGGATTACAGGCGTGAGCCACTGCGCCTGGCCTAAAGCATTAATTTTTATTTCAACTCTGGCTACCATGGTTATATTATAAGCTGGTCCTAGTTATGGCATCTAATGAATATTGCTTAGTTTATAATATAAACAATTATACTAAGTGTTCAGTATTTCTCAAACCCATCTACACGTTAGAATCACCTGGGGAACTTATAAGCACATATACATCGTAGAGTGGGCCCCAATAAAATCAGAATATGTTGGGTAGGACGTAGGGCATCAGTGTTCTCTTCAAAGCTTCCCTGATGATTCTAAGGCAGCCAGAGTTGAGAACCACTGGTTTAATGGAATAAGCATGTACCATTTGTTGTAATTTGCATTTACTGGAAAATTTTTCTCTTAATTTTTTAGTGATTTCAAAATTAGATGTGCTTTTGCAAGTAAATTGGATTTTGTTAGCAAGATTTCTTATAAAGGAGTGGCTTATCTTAGCCGGAACTTTTTAAGTGTACTTTCGTGAAGGTCTCTCCCAACATCCTTATGATCTTGAAAAAAGAAAATACTTCTGAAAACATTGACACATTGCATTCCAGAAGTTTGAGTCATATGTAGGATTGCAAAAGAACTCATTGAAATTCTCTTTAGATGTCTACAAAATCTACCTTAAAAGGATTTTTGAGTAATTATCCATTTTCCCATTATAAGCTTGATACAGGACACTTAGCCCATTATTTTGTTTACTTTTTTCTAGGTTTGAGATCAGTTTGTGCCACTTTTTCACTGTGATATTGGCCAAGTCTGTTTACCTAATTGAAACTCAATTGTTTTATTAGTACGTTAGGCCTGTAATACCTTATGTGGTATGGATGGAATAGAAACAAGAACTCTTTAAATTGTGAAGTACTATTTAGCAGTAAGCTAATTATTTGAATCCTGTTCTCCTAAAACACCAAATGATCATTATTATTTTTAAAAATCAGTGTGCAGTGTGTCTGACAGCTCAATATATATAGAAAAATGCACATACCCATTTATAAAAAAGCCTTACCCCACTCCCAGAAGACCACAAAGCTCCTTCCTGTGAGGGGAGGTTAAGAGAGATCTCAGGACAGTGCTTGATCTCAGTGAAGCCTGCTCTTCTATCTAAATGTTACCCAGCTCCAGTGTGGATGTCCAGCTCACCAATTATTTTTATCCCATTTTTTTCCTTTTAATTTTTTATTTAAACTTTTTTTTGTTTGTTTGTTTTTTGGGAGGCAGGGTTTTGCTGTGTTCAGGCAAGAGTGCAGTGGTGTCATCATAGCTCATTGCAACCTCCAACTCCTGGGCTTGGGTGATCCTCCTGTCTCAGCCTCCAAAGTAGCTGGGACTATAGGTGTGTGCCAGCACACCCAGCTAATTTTTCTGTTTTTTGTAGGGACAGGGATCTCACTATGTTGCTCAGGCTAGTCTTGAACTCTTGGCCTCAAGTGATCATCCTGTATTGGCCTCCCAAAGTGCTAGGAGTACAGGTGTGAGTACAGTGCCTGGCCATATTTTTTCCTTTTTAACTAGGAATACAAACTGAAATTTGCTCCGAGTTATAAGTTATTTTGTATATGTTTTGTCTGAATATTAAAACTTGTTGTAATCAATGTAAACATATTTTAACATCTAAAAACATTGTGTATGTAGGGGAAAAATAAATCAAGTTGAAGCAATTTGTGATAAGATTTCTCCCAAATTGATAATTGATGTTGTATCTTTTATTGCTAAAATCTTTTAAATGTAGAATTAGAAATATTGTACAATTTTAGCATAAATATGGTCAGTTTATAAGTTAAATGTTTTGTGTAAAGAGTCTATGTCCTTCACAAAAATATGGCATTCATGTAAAAAGTACACAGATTGTAAGTGCATAGCTCAGTTAATTTTCACAAAGTGAAACATACTTGTGTAAGTAGCACTTGGAGCAGGAAAGTTAATAGAACTTCAGAAGTCTTTTATGTTCCTTTTCAGCATTCACTCATCTAACACTGTAGATAACTTTTGTCTGTTTTTAAAACTTGTATATAACTTGAAACATACAGATTGTACTTTTTTTGGTGGTGGGGGAGGTTCCTTTGCTCAGTTACTTAATTACATGTTATAGCCTGTTATAGTCTTGTTATATAGTATTCCATTGTTTGGATATACCACAATTTATTCATTCTTGATGGTTATTTTGGGTTTCTGGTTTGGGCTACTATGAGCTACAGTAGTATGGTCATTCTTATATGTGTCTTTTGCTGAACATGTATATGTTTCTGTTGGAATCTATGTACAACTAAATTGGTAAGTCATATATGTTCAGCTTCATTAAATACTACCAAGCAGTTTTCCAATTTATACCTCCATTTACAGTTTGAGAGTTTCAATTGCTTCACATTTTTGGCATCACATAATATTAAAACATAAGGATGCATGTTATAACTTTAGTACAACTAATAAAAGAATAGGAAAAAGAATATATAACTGACAATAGGAGAATGAAATAATAAACTGATAAGTCCAGAAGAAGGCAAGAAAGAATAAAACAGCAATATGATATATACAAACTCAATATATCTGTAATTACATTAAATGTAAATGAACTATATACCTCAAAAGATTAAGAATGTCAGACTGGGGAAAAGTCCCAAGTAGATACTGCTTATAAGATACAGATCTTAATCATAAGGACATAGATTAATAATAGAAAAATTATACCATGTAAACACTAACAAAAAGGAAGTTGATGTAGCTATGTTAATATCAAAATAGACTTTAGGCCGGGCGCGGTGGCTCACGCCTGTAATCTTAGCTCTCTTGGAGGCCGAGGCGGGCGGATCGTTTGAGTTCAGGAGTTCGAAACCAACCTGAGCAAGAGCGATACCCATCTCTACTATAAATAGAAAGATTGGCCAACTAATATGTATAGAAAAAATTAGCTGGGCGTGGTGGTGCATGCCTGTAGTCCCAGCTACTCGGGAGGCTGAGGCAGCAGGATCGCTTGAGCCCAGGAGTTTGAGGTTGCTGTGAGCTAGGCTGACGCCAGGGCACTCACTCTAGCCTGGGCAACAAAGCGAGACTGTCTCTCAAAAAAAAAAAAAAAAAAAAATTTCTTCATAGAGAAATAAAATTATAAAAGGAAAAAAAAGCAGACTTTAAAAGATTGTTATAAAATATCCTTTATTTCTAATAAAGAGGTTGACTAGTCCAGCTCCTGGTTTAAAAACTTACATGTAATTTTTCAAACCCAATCACATGCACTTACAAAGGCTTTACCTGCCAGGCCTCATGGGGGAAAGCTGCCCTCTCCAAACCAGACTTGGTATCTGGCTGATGCACAGCAGTCCCTCAAGGGAGTCACAGTCACTACCGTGTTTCCCCGAAAATAAGACCTACCCATAAAATCAGCCCTAGCAGGATTTCTAAGCATTTGAGCAATATAAGCCCTACCCCGAAAATAAGACCTAGTGATAGGTGTGGCTACGCAGCGTATCTACACAACCCATGCATTTTGTCTCGGAGCAGTAGAGGCGAGCAGCCCTTCGCATCTGCCCCATCTTGACAGCTACTATTCCAGAGGTGACCAGAAAGGTGCAGGCAGCCCCACCAACAAGGTTGGCTCCCCCTGTCAGGTCCTGGCCATCGCTGCAAGCTGAGGCTTTGAGGGGAAAATAAGCGTTAGGGTGTGTTCTTGAGGAAAAATAAAGACCCTGTCTTATTTTCAGGGAAACACAGTACTTGGGCTTCCCTGGCTGGCCATAAACTTACGCAGAGCTGCATTCCTAGCCCAGGTGCCCTCATTTGGAAGCCTCTTTTTATCAGGGGCCTCTGCCAATACCACCTTAGCGGAGGAAAGTGGGGAACTTTGAAGACAGTTTTTCTCAGTGCTTTTCCACTACTAGCTTTTCTCCCTCTCCCTCCTCTCGGCTTCTGGATCTACAATACTGCAGGAACCTTTTTGGGGGGCTCTGTTGGTAGTGGAAGAGCCCCATATCTGACCTACCTGACCCTTGACCAATGGCACTGTTCCATGGAAAATAAAACAGGGAAGTTGGCACTTTTCTCTGGTTCAGCCTCTTGCTTCTAGCATCACAATAAGTGATTAAAACCTTAACTACTACTTTATTTTTTATCTTAATGTTTTAAGTGACTACTGAGATACCTGGCAGATCAGCTGAGTGCCTAACAGGGATTAATCCACCAGAAAGCTATAACAATTTATATGCCTCTAGTAATATGGCCTCAAAATGCGTAAAGCAAAAGCTAACTAGACACTGGAAATTTATTGTAGTATAACATAGAGAAAAGTATACAGTCAAGAGTGTGCAGCTCAGTGAGTTATTGCAAAGTAAGTGTATGAGTATACCCAAAATATACAACATTACCAACACCTAAGAAAACTACTTTGAGATACCTCTCAATACTACTCCTTTCCTCTTCCTTAGAGGTCACTACCATTCTCACTTAAAATAGGTAAGCTTTGTCTGTTTTAAAACTTTATATAATGGAATTATCAATATGTATTCTTTGTACTTGGCTTCTTTCACTAATATATTTGATAATGTTTTTAAACATCTTCTGAATATTAACTTGCTGCTATTATCATTTCAGATGTTTTAGAAAATAATTATGAGAGCTTACATGTACTAAATGTTGAAAGAAATGGAAATATTATTTATACTTATAAGGTATGTGTGTATTTTCTATTGTGGTAAAATATAACAAATGTACTATTTTAACCATGTATAGTCTCTTTACAGAGTTCTATATTTATCTCATTGAGGGGTAATAAGACTTATTGGCATTTTACTTTCGTTAAAGGCATTTAACCTTTAACATATGACCTTGTTTTTTGTGTGTGAGATTGAATAGGATGACTGAAATTCAGTCTTATGAAATGTTTTCCTTTTTTAAAAGAAAATAAAACTGTAGGACATATTTGACACAGTATGCAAAATTTTTGAATATGTGAACAATCTCATTTTCTAGAGGAAAAATGCCAAGTAAAATATATCTTCACCTAATTAATGTGTTACATTTTTATCTTTGAGAAAATGTTAAATAAGATTATTCAGACTTAGATATGCTAGGATTTTTGAGGCATTATTTAACAATGTGTTTTCAATGTTCTAAGGAAAATTTAACATTACTGTTAACTTTAGTAGGGACACATGAAAGAATAATTCCAATGGCCGGTTTGCTTTGTACAGCTGTATCACTGTACTTGTTTTTTCTTTTGATTTCAACAATATTTTGTGTCTAAGGATGGTACCTTTAAGGAATTGTATGATTCTAAAAGTTTCACTCATAAGAATATCATGGACTTGTTATTGCCACTCCTATTATCTGTCATATATGTTCTCAAAAGTATAAATGGAGATGCAAAAAGATTCACTCCTTCACCATTTTCAGGCCTATTAGACAAAGTCTCCCAAATTCACTGAGCTGTATCTGTTGACCCATTTCATTTTTTGAGCCCAAATGACTAGCTGAATCAGGTTCAGTCCCTTTCTGACATGCACAGCCAGCTTCCTTTAAGGTGCTTATTGCTAAGATTGGTTGAATTATTGCAGATTTGCTTTAAAACTAGTAACATTCTAACTTCCTAAACAATGACATTTAATATACATCTTGTTAATTTTTTTTCAGGGTGATAAGGGACATATCTTCTTTGGATTATATGATTGCAAAACCAGACAAAATGAGGTAAAAACAATTACCATAAATCATAGATTACTCATTGTTTATTGCTTTTAGAGTTTTCTTCTTTCTATCTCCTCCTTTTACATAAAAGTTGAAAAAAATGTAGTATAAAATGAAGTTAGAGGCCTCGCATGGTGGCTCATGCCTGTAATCGTAGCACTTTGGCAGGCCAGGATGGGAGGATTGCTTGAGGCCAGGAGTTTAAGACCAGCCTGAGCAAGAGTGAGACTCTGTCTCTACCAAAAATAGAAAAATTAGCCAGGTGTGGTGGTGCGCACCTGCAGTCCCACCTACTCAGGAGACTGAGGCAGGAGAATGGCTTGAGCCCAGGAGTTTGAGGTTGCAGTGAGCTATGACGAGGCCAATGCACTCTAGACTGTGTCTCGAAAAACGAGACAAAACAAAAGAAAACAAAATAAAGTTGTATATAGATTCCAACTTCATTTTCTAAAAACTTAGTTTATATTTCTTTCATTTTCTTCTCCCTTTACCATCTCTTGGCGTCATTGTCTTAGAAAAACAAAAGTGGATTCCTGGACCAAAAAGTCAGTTGAAGTCTTTTAGTCTTTTGAGAGTTATGTAAAATCGTCTCAAACCAATTATCTGATATTCTGTAAGAAAGTAGGAAGTCTGCTGCCATCTTCAAGATTTGTGTGCTCACAGGTCATCTCATAATGACCTCTGGCTCTGAATTCTGCTTCTGCATAACCTGCACTTGTCTTGCTTCTTGTTACTGCTCAGTGATCTGGGTGTGGAACTCAGCCCCTTTTCCTTAGTTTTTCCCCAAACTACTCACATAAGGCACTGGTTGATGTGACAGGCTCTGCCTAATTCTTGGGGCAAAATGGAGGGAGTCATTTTGTGCATATGTAAAAACAATCTAGAATTGAATATTGGGCATCCTTGAACTTAAATGCCCTTTATCCATTCCAAATTTCTCACAGGTCACCTTACTCTTCAGGCTTCCAATATGATGCTTGGTTAAGTCTTTTTTCTTTCCCATTTTCCCCACCCCTTTCACCCTCATTCATTCATTTGCTGATCCAACAAATATGTATTGAGTGTTTCACCTGTTAAGTGCTGGAGACACGGTGGTAACCAAGATAAATCCTGTCACAATACCCAGTCTAGGGGAAGAGAATAAAATCTCAAGTTTTTAACTTATTGCTTATTTAACTAAGCAATCCTTATCTTAATTTCTATGTGGTATGTATTAACATTCCAAGAAGAGGGGTTGAGAGGAGACATCATAGTCTTCTGTCGACCTGGTTGTGGTGGCTATTAGTAACTTTTGTGGACATATTCATCTCCCCCAAGACTGTATGCACTTGGAAATAAAGAGCATTTTGCAGTCCAATGTGTTCCATGCCCATTATGTTTGCTTTACTGCCTTGTGAGTGGCAGGAATTCAGTAAATGTTTTTCAATGGATTGGTAGTGATAGCTTCCTTTCAGAATGGCCGTTTTTCACGTTTCTTTAGTGACAAAGCTTTTTTGCATTTCAAAATATGGAAATTTTTCTGAAAATGGCTAAAGGATAAATTAATAGGAAATCTAAATTAGCTTTTGTTAATAGGCAAGTCTTGCTTCTGAACCATAGTTGGTAAAGAAACCCTTCGTTCTCTCATATCCCCTCCACATACTCACAAACCCTTACAACCCATATGTTTGTTTTTGTTTGTTTGTTTGTTTGTTTGAGACAGAGTCTCACTCTGTTGCTAGAGGGCCGTGGAGTCAGCCCGGCTCACAGCAACCTCTTAAACTCCTGGGCTCAAGCAATCCTACTGCCTCAGCCTCCCAAGTAGCTGGGACTACAGGCATGCGTCACCATGCCGGCTAATTTTTTCTATTTTTTGGTAGAGATGGGGTCTCGCTCTTGCTCAGGCTGGTCTTGAACTCCTGAGCTCAAACGATCCACCTGACTCAGCCTCCCAGAGTGCTAGGATTATAGGTGTGAGCCACTGGACCCAGGCAACCCATATGTTTTTTTCATTAGCCTTTTGATAGTTTTATTGGAAGAATGAATTTGTATGCCAATTCTAGTTGGACTTTTAAAAATTCTTTTCAAGTACTGTATTTTTTTCTGGGAAAATTGCCACCAAGAGAGAGATGGTTCTTTCTCTTAGTAATAGAGCTTCAGGATAATGCTGCCTGAGTCTTAACACTTACCCATCCTTCTCTCAAAGTTTTAATTTTTTTAAAATTTGCAAAATGAGTACAGCAGTATCTTATGTACCCTTCACTCAGTTTTCCTCACTTGTTACATCTTGTGTTAATGTAGTATTAAAATCAGGAAATGACATTGATAGAATGTATGTATGGTTCTGTGCTATTTTAACACATGCATAGATTGCTGTATTTGCCACTGCAGTGAAGATACAGAACTATTCCATCACTATAAGGATCTACTGGTGTTGACATTTTAGCAGTTAGAATGAAGTATAGAATCCTTACATCCTTTTTTTTTCTCTTTTTTTCCACTTTTTTTTAAATTTCAGCATATTATGGGGGTACAGATTTTAAGGTTTCAATAAATGCCCCTTTCCCCCCTCCCTCCTTACCTCCTTTTAAGTTCCTTTACCTTTCCCCATTTATTAACACAGTTGTCTTTGTTATTTCCTCTATATCTTTGCTATCCACATCAGATAATCTTATACTTTTTGCCTAAATTATCAAACATAATTTAGAAAATGCAAGGGGAGGAAATTCTGTGTTTACCCATATTTTTGCTCTTTCCATTGTTCTTTCTTCCTTACTGATATTCTAAGATTCCTCTTTTAATATTTCCTTTCTCTTTTAAGAACTTTTTTTTAGCCATTATTTTAGGGTAGGTATGCAGATAACAAATTTGCATAGTTTCCTTTGTCCAAGAATGTCTCCATTTCTTTCATTTCTGAAGGATAATTTTGTCAAATGTAGAATTCAGGATTGACAATTCTTTTTGTTTAGCTCTTGAACTATGTGCCACTTTCTTCTAGTCTCCGTGGTTTTTTATGAGAAATCTGCTGTCTTTTGAATTGTTTTTCTCCTGTAGATAAGGTGTCTTTTCTTTCTTGCAGCTTCCAAAAATTTTTTTCTTTGTCCTTAGTTTTTTGAAGTTTGATTATGATGTGTCTTGGTGTGAATTTGTTTGGGTTTTTCCTGCTTGTGTTCACTTGACCTATTGAGTCTGTAGTCTCTTGCAAAATTTGGTACATTTTCAGTCATTAGTCATTATTTCTGCAAATACTTTTTTAGTCCTACCCTGTTTTTCCTCTTTTTATGGACTCCGATTACATGAATGTTTGATCTTTATTTTTATTCATTTTTTTGAATGTTAGATCTTTTGTTATGGTCTCACAGATCTGAGAGTCTGTTCCTTTTCCCACCCAGTTTATTTTTTGTTTCAAATTAGGTAAATTCTATTGTTTTATCTTCAGGTTCACTGATTTCTCCGTCCTCTCAACTATGTTGTTGAGTCTGTCCTTTGAGGTTTTGTTAAAAAAAAATTTCACAATTTTTTTTTTCAGTTGTGAAATTTGCATTTGTTTTTTTCTTTATATATGGTATTTCCTTGCTGATGCTTTTAATTTTTTTCATTTGTTGCAAGCATGTTTGTAATTACTTGAGCATTTTTATTATGGTTCTTGGCATGATGCATGATTTTCTATCATATCTTAAACATTTTGAATATTATGAGACTCTGGATCTTATTTAAGTCTTCTGTTTTAGCATGCCTCCTCTGGTAGTATACCTATTGGGGAATGGGAGGGGGCACAACCTCACTACTGCTGGGGGAAGACGTGAAGGTCCAGGTTCCCCCACTTGGCCTCTTTTGATTACCCCAATGGGTAGAGGCACCTTGTTATGGCAGATAAGAGGTGGGATTTCAGGCTTTCCCACTAGGCCTCCACTGACACCACAGCATAAGAGTTGGAATGAGTAGGGGAAGGTAGGTGGAGACCTTGTTATCATTGGATGGTGGTGGAAGTTCTGGCCTCCCATTCAGCCACTTCTGACACCATCCCACTGAGGAGGGGGAGCGGTACCTCTTTAGTGCTGGGTGTGGGTAGACATTCAGGATCCCCACATGGCTTCACTAATACTCTTGGAGGGGGAAAGCTTGTTAGCACTGTGTGTGGATGAAAGCCCTAAGTTCCTACGTAGTCTTCTCTGATACTATTCTTGCAGGAGCAGGAAGGGTGCCTTGTTATAGTTGGGCAAAGATAGGAGTCTAGGCACCCCACTCAGCTTTTGCTGGTAGAGGTAGGAGTGGGTTGTGTTTTTTTCCATGATATTTGGCTGGGGTAAGATGGTTATAGTCTACACATTTTCTGTCTTGCCAGGTTTCCCCTTTCTTGTTCCTTTGGCTAGAGAGAATGGGTGTGTGTGTGTTTTTGTATGCTCCTGTCAGCATTTCTGTTGTTTTCACTTCTTTAGCTCTCAATCTGGGATATGTGATGCAAAAATAAAATCCAGGAAACTTACTACTGTGTCATTTCTTGGGGCCTGTGGTCCCTGGAGGGTCTGCCATCTTCTGTCTACTTTTCAGAGTTGTCCTATATTTGTTTTATATATGATGTCTCTAAGGACATTTTTAAGATGTACTTAGAGTAATAGGGAGAAATAGGTTGACTCCACCTCGGTCTCTGTTTCTGAAGGTTTGACTGAATGATCTGTCCTTGCAGTAGCCAAATGGGAAGCAGTGTATTGCTTTTAAGTAGACAGGTTGCAAATACCTTTCCTTCCTCACCCTCTCTCACCTCTTCCACCACTCTTTTTCATGCAAGCCTTCCGTGTTAGTGCACACAAGAGTGGATATGATCTAAGCTGGTTGAGTAAAAGGGAATAATTGACTTTACTGGAAATGGGATATGGACTCTTCTCTTTTCCACTGGGTTTGATGATGAGCAAACCCCCTGGGTTGAAACTGCTGTGACTTTGGGGTATAGAACTTGGAGTTCCATTGTGTGGAGGCTAAAAAATGTATTGAACCCAGAAAGCTGAGAGAATGGATATTTCCAGCTTTGTATCAAGCCAATGCTGATGTCGTATGCCTTATACTATTCAATTTGATGAGCCACTAATTACCTTTTTGCATAACTTAGTTTGGAGAAGATTTTTTGTTGCTTACAATTGAAGAATTCAGATATTTACATACCTTTTTGCATAAGTTAGTTTGGAGAAGATTGTTTGTTGCTTACAATTGAAGAATTCTCATACTTACATACCTTTTGACCCAAAAATTCCACTTTTAGGTTTTGATTTTGTAGAACTGCCTACACAAGTGCACAAAGATGTATGTAAAAGGAAGTTTACTGGATTATTATAATACCTAAAAGCAGGAGGCAAACTAAATGCCCATTAGTAAGTTCTTTGGAAATTGATATAGCCATTAAAGGATTAAGAAGTCTATAAATGTATACTGGCACAGAAGGCTCTTTAAAACATATTGTTACATGAAGAAAAGCAAGTTGTCAGAATAATATATTCCATTTATGTTAAAAAAAACTTGTCAGAAAAATGATATAAGTGCATAAATATGTATTGAAAATTCATTTTAAGAGATCTGGAGGGCTACAGAGTAAATTATAAACACGCTTCCTTTTGAGAGGGAGTTGGAATTGGCTGTGTATAGTGGAGTGTTTATATCTTTTGAATTCTTATTTGGTAATATTTGAATCTTTAAACATGGAGACTGATTGTTTTATAATTAAAAGGATAAAACATTAAAAAAATTAAGTATATACATCCATCATTTTTCTTATAATTTGGAACTCCTTAATTCAGAGCAAGAGTGAAAGGAAATCAAAATTTCTCGCATGAATTCAGTAGCTTTTTATTAACTGAAACTTCATTTCTTCTAATCAATTGTTCCCTGAATTTCCCAACATTTTCCACTAACTTTTGGTTTTAGCATGTTCTCAGTGTTTTTTGAGCATCCAGGTATTAATAACCTTAATACGTCTGCTATTTACAGTTTTTCTTTGTCTATTCTTTCCTGAGGTCTAAGACTTTTTATCTTTCCTTTACCCTCTGAGTGAACTTTGAGAGAGCTTGCCTACTATAATTGTTTTTTTTTCCAGTTCCTCAATCTGCACATCATATCCTCCTTCTTCATGCCATTTTCATTTTCTTTAATATTCAAGGAAATGGAATCTTGCAAAATTTTTGAACATTTCAAATTGCAAGAAGAAACAAAAAAAAGATTAATGATAGACTACTTTTCTAGTCCCTTATATATGGAAGTCCTCTAGGAGATGCACTTGTGACAGTTTCTAAGACATAACCAGTGATATCATAAGCTGTGTAATTTGATTGAAACTTTACCTACCTCAATAATTATAATAGCTAACATTTGGGTGCCTAGAGTGGCAGACATCATACTAAGTGCTTCATATAGGTTATCTCACTTGATCTTCCTAAAATATCCCATGAGGTAGGTATTATGATTCCTGTTTTACTGATGAGGGGATAGAAAGGCTGAATAATTTGTCCAAACTCACACAGCTGAAAAGTGTTAGAGTCAGGATGTGAACCTGGATCTAGCTGGGATCAAGGTCTGGGCTCCTAACCACTCACTGTGCTTGGTTGTCTCATAGCTGAGTTTCTGTGCCAAACATGGCCTACAATAGCATATTTTTTTCATAAAGAATGCTTTGGAATGTCTCAGCATGGCCAAACTAGTTTATTAATGGTTCTTTAGTAAAATATTTTGCCCCAGTGATACTTAGTACAGAGCTTAATGGGAGTTTATATTCATACTGTTGTTTTTTAATATGAAGCTCCAAATTAAAAAATATTTTTATTTTAATAGCATCTGTATACCTTTGAGAAAGACTTGCAGGTTGTCAGTTGCTCTGTCAACAGTGAAAGAACTTTGCTTGGTAAGTTTAACTCTTATTGCTACATGTCAGTAACTGAACTTTATCTTTTAGGAGTTCCAAAGTATTGAATTTTTGCAATATTTGATTATTCTATAACAATGACTTTCTGGGAAAGAAATGTTCTTGGGAAATTAGGTTTGAAATAAAGAATCTATAGAGTATACCTACAAAAAAGAATGCTTTGTAGTCTATCTTAATCTTCCACTGACAGGTCTTTGAGCCCTCATTTATTTCAGATATAAAATAGTAAACTTTAACAGCCACCCCATGAATCAATTGCTAATGAACTTTTTTCTTTTTCCATTAGCTGCAAGTTTGGCTCAATCTACTAAAGAAGGAAGAAGGAATGAGCTTCAACCAGGTAATGAAATTATAAGTGCATATTGGTAAATGAAGCTTTATTGCACTACTTAGTAAAATTTTAAGCATCTTTAGAAAATAACCTTATGGTATTTCAGAATGAGAAGGCAAAGGTCATATCAAGCATGAACGAGGCTTTCTTTAAAATATCTTTTGCAAGTAAACAGGAAGTACAGAAAATAATCTAACAGTGAATAACAGAAATATTAAGATGATAATTATCACATGCAGAATAAATAAATGCTGAACTTAGAAACCTCTGGCCAAAAGCTGGTGTAAAAATTTGGGAAACTCAAGAATACCATTTTTTTTTCCTTATATCTGATTGTTGATTGGTGCCAAACACATTGTGAATAGTCCTCAAAAACTCAGTTCCATTCATTTGCCAAGGCCCACTTTACAGGTTGTAGCTAACTGTGTGATTGTCCCTTGCCCCTCCCCCTCCCCCTTTTAAAAAATATTCGGTGTCATTTCTCTGTCTATAACCCAACAGTGTTGAGTGCCTGCTGTGGGTCAGGCACTATGCATAGCACGGAGGATACAATGGCATGTAAGAGAGGTGTGGTAACCACCCTTGTGAAGCTTTCAGTCTAGTTCTGGGTTTTAACCACAGATGCATAGTGTGGCCAGAGAGACCATGCACATAAGTGAAGCAGACTGAGTGTAAGAAAAAAAATTGACCAAGAAAATGTCCTTCCCCCCACCCATTTTTAACATAGAAACCAAGAAATATTTTTTCTCCTTGATGAAAAAAAAAAGTTCAAGAGCTACAGGGACTAGGGGTGGGGTGGGGAGCTCCCATGGAGGACCCCAGAGGGGGGAGCCACTACATAGTCTGCTCTAGCTTTTTGTTGTCACTAGTCCAGTGGGGCAAGCTTTTCGATTTATCAAGAGAAGTCTGGACTTTGATATAAAAATCTAACTTGTAAATATTGGCTCACATAACTTTAGAAATCCTCCTCAGGCAATGATAACCACCTGTGGACTACCGTTTTCCAACTTCTGGTCTAGTAGATCCCATCAGGCAAGTACGGTTCTGATCCCAGGTGCTTTCCGTCCCTTCTGTTTGCTTGGCACGTAAATCCCTTCTATTGTTAGCATAGTTCCCATTTAGTGCATTCTGCTACAGTCACATGCGATGGAAAAACCCGTGTGCGTACTTTCCACGTGACGTTTATGAAGCAGTTCCGGGCTCCTCCTGACACATGTTTCCCCACGGAGCCAGCTTAGAGTGGCGAGGGAACCACAGCTGGGTCTGGATCGGACCTTCTTGGGCCTCAGCAAGTTTATGGGCAACGTCGGTGGGCAGGAGGCTCACCCTGAAACCTCATCTTTCTCATTACTCATCCTTACCTCCCCGCTGCGTGATATGCTGAGAACCACAACAGCCCCCCTTGTTTCTGTGCCGTGCCCCCTCTTATCGGGACCCTCGGCACTCTCTGCTCTTTTGAGAATTAGGAGCAATGCTCATTTCAGAGGAGCTGGAGCTGGACTAGGTTAAGTGAAATATGATCTGGGACGTTGGTGTCCTGACTCTTAAAACAAGGGTAGGAACAAAACCAGGGTATGGCCCTGACCTATGGGCTCATAAACCCCTTTATCCAAGAAGGGGAAAGGCCTAGCTGCTGGCATTCCTTGACACAGGTGGAGCCTCTGTACAGAACCTCGGCGGCTCCCTGTGCCACCCAGTTCTTCTTGTGCCTTATTCCTTTTATTCTTGAACATTCTTTACTCTGGTAAACCCAGTAGTATCTGTATTTTTTACATGATGTTTACTGCCTATGGCTGATTGTCACATAGAACAGTAATCCTTTTGTGATTATATTATAAAATGTACTTTCATACCAACTTTAAGTTTTATTTGATTATAACCTTATATTCTATTCAGGTGTGCATCCTTAGTCTCGTAATTTTGATGCATCCGTAGTGAGATTATCTGCTTACATCTTTAAAAACATTAGCATGGGCCGGGTGCGGTGGCTCACGTTTGTAATCCTGGCACTCTGGGAGGCTGGGGTGGGAGGATCGCTTGAGGCCAGGAGCTTGAGGTTGCAGTGAGCTATGATGATATTACGGCATTTTAACCGGCAGGGTGACAGAACAAGACAATGTGTTAAAAAAATTAGCATGAACATTATTAGTTATTGTATCAGATACCTCATAGCTTACATTGTAGCTCACCTGGTATGCCAGCCACTGTGATGAGCACCAGCCCTGCCTGAGTGTAAATTGATAGTGCCTGACCTCAGCTGCCCTAGCTACTTCTTTTTTTTTTTATTTTGGCATATTATGGGGGTACAGATTTTAAGGTTTCAATAAATGCCCATTCCCCCCTCCCCCCACAAGTCTGAGTCTCCATCATGACCATCCCCCAGATGGTGCACATCTCACTCATTATGTATGTATATACCCGCCCCCCTCCCCCCTCCCACCTGCCCAATAGCTACTTCTTTTCTGCCCAAGGCCCTTAGGAAAATCTGTTTAGAGCCTACACATGTACAACCCGGAAGTATGGTTGGGCATGATGCCCAGTAGGGCAACCCATGACCAATGGGGGCAAGGGGCTGAAGGAGAAATGGTCCCCTTTCCATCCCTAAAGTGGCCAATTCTGAGGTGTACCCCAAGCAGCTTAAGATCCAAAGTGGTCACTAATTTGATAATCCCCCACTTTACTGGTGTACGTTTCTTCCCTGTCTCGTTCTCCCCAGTCCCTCATGGCATCCCCTGGCTGGAGTGATCTTAGAGTAGTCCTGTCCCCTGAGATAACTTCTTGGCTTAGTGTGGGTCTCCCCACAAGTAGAGTCTGAGGCAAGGATTTGAGTGCAGTTAGTTTATTTGGGGGATGATTCTAGGAAACACTACAGGGCAGTGTGTAAAGGGAGACCTGAAAGAAGGGAGGAAGCAAGCACTTGGCTCTGGGGAAAGCAAGTTGCTGGCAGAGCAGATGGCCGGCCCAGCGCCCTAAGGCAGGACTGCGCCTGGTAGACTCCCCGTTCAAAGTCAGCGAGGAGGTGAGGCCAGAGTGCAATGAACTAGGGGCGGAGTGGTGGGAATTGAAGCCCGAGGAAAAGGGGTGTGAGGTGCAGGCAGACCTTAGCCAGGGGTCCTCAAACTTTTTAAACAAGGGGCCAGTTCACTGTCCCTCAGACCGTTGGAGAGCAGGGGCACATTCCACACATGCGCACTGTGGGCCTGGGACGAGTCTGCTGCTAAGCAGGACAGGCAGTGGCAGCAAAAACACCTGGCGGGCCGGATAAATGTCCTTTGCAGGCTGCATGTGGCCTGCAGGGCTGTAGTTTGAGGACATCTGCCTTAGACCCTAGGAGACCACTGCAAAGACTTGGCCTTCACCCTGAGCAACATGGGAAGCTCTGTGGATTCCAAGCAGGGGAGTGGTCTGGCTGACTTTGTAAAAGGATTGCTGTAGCTGTGTGGAAAATAGGCTGTAGGAAGGCAAGGGGAGAGCAGGGAGTGGTTGGGAAGCTATTACAGTGGTTTAGTGGCTTGGACTAGGGGAGCAGAGCATGGAATAAGTGGTTGTGGAATAAGTGTTGTTGGAATAAGTGTTTGGAAATATTTAAAAGATTGAGTTGTCAAGATTCACTACTGGCTTTGAAAGGAGCATGAGAAAAAGAGGCAAGTTCGTGGTGGCTCACTCCAAGGTTTTTTGACCAGAACAGGCAGGGGTGTGTGTGTGTATATGTGTGTGTGTGTGTGTTGATGGGAGGGGCAGGAAAGAAGAGTTTGATTTTGGACGCATCATTGAGATGCCTAATGGGTGTCCAGTGGAGATGTGAGGTGACAATTTGGATATGACTCAGAAGTTCAGGTAAGAGGCTGGGGCTAGAGATACATATTTGGGAGTCATCAATGTATGGAAGGTATTGTTCATCATGGGAAGGTTTCATTTCATGCAGTTAAGATTTCAGATATGATGTAATCAGAAAGCACTGTAAGATCTATTATAATGTTTTGTCCTTTGAGTAAATATATTGGAAATGTTTATTTCATCTGTCCATGAATGACCTTATAAGCCATTTGGTTATAGAATGTAGTTTGCCTCTGGTGTTAACATTTTGCTTAAAATGGGACTTTTCTGTTGCAAATGAGACAAACTATAATATTTTTCATGTACACAAAGTAGGATTCTTTGATCCACATACTTTATAATGTAGTTTTTATCAGCAGTGCTCCTATTCTTCTTGTGGCCGTGGCAGAGTTAATGCTTTATTTAGAAAATGCCCTTCCAAAGGAAGCCCCTTTACCCTCTGCCTCTTGGGAGTTGCATTTGCCACAAGGCATAGCAGATCCCCACTGGGCAGCATTGGGGTGACCACATTTGTCCAGGGCCCCACTGCCACTGAGAGTCTTCAGCACTACCATGTGCCATTGTGGACAGTTAAGTGCCACAGATGCTCCGTGGAGCTGTGGTTTGGTTCAGGAGCTCCAGAAGCCAGAGCTCCTTCAGAACCAGCCCACTGGACTCCTGCAACCTGTCACCATTTCACAAAATGTGCCTTTACCTGTGTGAGGCCAGGTTCCTTTTCCCACCCTCTGTCCTCCTCATGTTACATCTATCCCTGTGCCTCCATCCTGCTGTCTCTCCTTCCGGTAGTATCTGGACCCTCTGGGCCCTGTCTTCCCTTTCAGTGATGCCCTCCCAGAATCCACAGATATCTTGTTCTCTAAATTCTTAATTTAGCACTTCATATGGAAGCATGGGATTTTATGGCTGAAAGTGATTGTAGAAATAATCTGATTCTGTACCATGTTTTTGTTTGTTTGTTTAATAAGAAGGTCTTGAGGCCTAGGAACGCCTGACGATTTGCTAGAAAGACTACATTAGGTTAGTGGCAGAGCTGAAACTAGAATTGTTGTCTCTAGAATTCTAATCCTGAATGCTTCCTGTTTCACTGTGAAAGCATATGGTATGTTATTGAGAGCAATTCCTATTTGCAAAAGTTTACTCTTTGCAAATAGAAATTATGCTAGTTAAATGTGTGGGCTGTACTACAGAAGGGAAAAATTGATGTAGGAAGATGGTTTCTGCCCTTGAAGATGCTTCCATTTTAAAGGTAAGGAAATTTAGCTAATAGCCGGTTATCTCATTTGCATAGGAATTCATGCGGAAAAGGACAAATATATGGTGAATCATTATTTTTCCAATGAGGAAGTTTTCCCTGTCCCCCATCAAAAGTTGTTTTTTTCCCAAGTTGGAATATATGAACTTCTAGGGCAAAAGATAAAAAAAAAAATATCAGCTTGTACTATTTAATATATTAATTTAGTCACACACATTTAAAATAACATAACAGTAAGAAAAATTGCTTCCCCCCATTCTCACCTTTCACCGAGCATTTCTATTTTTATTTTTTTTAGAATATATTTTTAAAAGAGGAAGGGTGAAAAGAAAGGAAGTAACTTGTATGTATAAAATGCCATCTCTGTAGCAAGCAGTGTTAGAAATGTTGTATGTATCATTTAATCCTTTCAAATTTTGTTTTTTTTTTTTCAGAATAATGTGGGGGTACAAATGTTTAGGTTACATATATTGCCTTTGCCCCTTTGCTTTGAGTCAGAGCTTCAAGTGTGCCCATCCCCCAGTCAGTGTGCACTGCACCCAAACTACCCTGAATGTGCCCGATCTCAGAAGCTAAGCAGTGTTGGGCTTGGTTTGTACTAGGATGGGGAGCTATTTTTCTTCTTGAGTCTCTTTTACACCAATGTCTTTCTCATTCCTGGAGCCATTTTTAAGTCATCAAGCAGATTTCCAAGGCACCTTGCCTTTACCTTGGTTGTATGATTCTGCCACTAGGATTTTCATTCTAAGTCACAAGTACCCATTTACCAGATGTTTGATTTTTATTTGTTCCATAGTTGTATATTTGTGATTCCACATAATAACTCAATCACTATCTTGCTTTTTCAAGAAAGTTAATATTGTAATATTTGAAAGGCATGTTTATGGAGATATCCAGTCCTCACAATTGTTAGGCCGTATTTCCAGAAATTGTCCTATTAATACATCTTTTTGCCCCTTTTTTTAAATAAAGCAGTATTGTCAGGCTACTTTCTTAAATATTGAAAACAGGCATTGATTAATTTCTAGGCTGCTGTGCCATTCCCAAATTATATGTTATTATTTAAAATAGTCATTGAGAGAGCACCTGATAATAGTAGAGTCTTTCTATTTTATTTTTTTAGAGATAAGGTCTCACTCTGTCACCTAGGCTGGAATGCAGTGGAATCATCATAGCTTGCTGCAGGCTCAAATTCCTGGACTAAAGCTATCCTCATGCCTCAGCCTCCTGAGTAGCTGGGACTTCAGGCATGTGCCACTGCACCCGGCCTGAGGGTCTTAATAAGAATTCAAATATAAGGCAACTACTTCTTTTCTATGATTTAATCTTGGGGGAGGGAAAACTTTGGTCTAAATTTAGATTATCTGTGGTGACTCCATTCTAGCCTGTGTCCATGGATGACTTCTTAAATGCTATCTTGTGTGACATTTGCTCAGATGTGACACTAAGGAAATAAGTGGTTCATTATCAGTGTTCTGCCACCATCCCTGAGGGAAACCCAGTTCCTGTCCTACTGATAGGTACTGCCAGCCTTAACATGTTCACCAGAAATATCTTTCTATTTTCATACACGAGCAATATTTGCTATTGTGCTGCAGAATTGGAGTGACACTGAATTGAATTGTGTTTGTTTAGACTGAGAGGCCTAGAGGGCCTGTGCAGCTCTATTAAAAATGGCTGTGGGATGGGTGGGAACTTGTTCCTCACTCCATGCACATTGACTTCTCCCTTGGGGTGTTTTCTGTATCTATTTTGGATTTTAAGAAGTGTCAAAGTCAAACTTATAAGTCAAAGTGTCAAACTTTAAGAAAAGTACCTTTTCTTGTGGAATACTAATATAACAGCTAACACATTTACATTTTCAAATTTCAGACATGCCCAATTTGCAAATTATAGCGTCATGATAATTGAGGGGCAAAATGATCCCCATTAGAATCCAGTTTGTCAGGCATTCTCCTATATTGCTGGTAAGAACAAAGTCATATATGATAACCTATATCAGAAGCCACTGTGTTTTAAATGTAATGCTTTTCAATAAACCTAGGAATTCTTATAACCTGAAATTTGTCTTCCGTGGTGCCTGCTGTTGTTTTCAGGATTGCTCAGAGACTTCCCTTTTTATGTTTGCATTTCTTGAGTGCCCTGTGGTTTTCATAACAAAATGCAGCTTCTTCAGGACTCCTGAGGGTGTGGAAGGCAGGTCCTTTGCTGGGCTAATTGCTTTTTGGGGGTCCTGAAGCCATCACATATCCCTAGAGAGTAGAACTGGGAATAGATTGAGTTTTAAGTCACCTAGAGGGAATGTATGATGATGGTAGAGTTGTTTTGTTAGCTACAAAGTCAGTGTAGTAGGGTTTACCAGGAATTCCTCTTCTTACTTGTTTTTGAAAAGATAATGTGTGATATTCTAATCTTCATTACTAAAAGCCTCCTTTTCTCTACAGGATCAAAGTGCTTAACTTTGTTAGTTGAAATCCACCCTATTAACAATGTGAAGGTTCTAAAAGCAGTGGATAGCTATATTTGGGTACAGGTAAGTAGGCATGTCATTTATCACTTATCTCATTAATCCAAAGGCATGAAACCCAGAGGAAATGGTGTTGACAAAGTATTTTCACACACATTATCGCATTTAATCCTCAAAGCAATCTCGTAGGATGGGTAGCAGCTAGAAGTATCAGCATTTCCTTTACAAACATGGAAATTAAGAACCCAAACCTAGCTCTTCTATTATACCATCATTTTTCTGATTATTAATATAACATTTTATGATAAAATATAGAATATTAAAACATTTAAAATAAGCTTTAAAATAGTTGACAGATTAAATATCTGATTAAATGACTTAATCCCCAAATTTATCAACTTCATGAGTTGATACAAAAGCATTGCATGTATAATGCAGGTGAATAGGTATAGTTAGTTCTCATTATTTGCAGATTCCATATTTGTACATTCTCCTATTCATTAGAATTGTAAGAAGGCAGGCTCTGCCTTCTTGTTTTAGTTCTTATACTATAAACAGGTATTGTGTTCATGGTCTAGGGCCATGTTTCAAAGTTTTGTCTTTTTGTTGGTGATTTCCCTGTTTAAAATGGCCCCCAAGTGCAGTGCTGAGGTGCTGTCTAGTGTTCCTAAGTGCAAGAAACCTGTGACGTGCCTTACGGAGAAAACACGTATGTTAGATAAGCTGCATTCAGGCATGAGTTACAGTGCTGTTGGCCAAGAGTTCAATATAAGTGAATCAAAAATATGTTAAATAAGGTGTCATTAAGTCAAAACATATATAAAACAAAGTATATGTATTGATCTCTTGACAAGAATGTTGCGACCAGAGGCTTGCTGGAACCTATCCTCATATGGGTTTCTGTCACCATCCCAAAAGACACACCGTTGAACGCCATAATTCTAAATGTTGAAATTCTAAAAAAGATCAAGATCCTAGGTATAAATCCCTAATGTTTATTAAAGTTCTAAAAATCACAATCACAAGATAGTATATCTGAGTGCTTATGCTTACAAAAAATGTATGTTGTTATTGCCTATTTTATTGTGTAAATTGACCTATGAAGTATTCTGTTGTGTTTTAATGTTTCTCAGATAAATCCTCTTTTAAAAATGTAAAATAGGCCGGGCGCTGTGGCTCACGCCTGTAATCCTAGCTCTTGGGAGGCCGAGGCGGGCGGATTGCTCAAGGTCAGGAGTTCAAAACCAGCCTGAGCAAGAGCGAGACCCCGTCTCTACTATAAATAGAAAGAAATTAATTGGCCAACTGATATATATATATAAAAAAAAAAAAATTAGCCGGGCATGGTGGCGCATGCCTGTAGTCCCAGCTACTCGGGAGGCTGAGGCAGAAGGATCACTCAAGCCCAGGAGATTGAGGTTGCTGTGAGCTAGGCTGATGCCACGGCACTCACTCTAGCCTGGACAACAAAGTGAGACTCTGTCTCAAAAAAAAAAAAAAATGTAAAATATCTTTTTATCTTTTTTTTTTTGAGGTGGGGGTCTTCCTTATGTTGTCCAGGCTGGTCTTGAACTCCTGGCCTCAGCAGTCTTCCTCCCTCAGCCTCCCAAGTAGCTGGCACTGCAGGTGTTTACCACTGAGCCTGGCTAATAAATACCTTTTAAATAATTTTTAAAATTATTTTTTACAGAATTATATTTTTGAGATAGATTGTGATTTTGAGGATTTTTAGACTTCAGAGATTTTGATCTTTTGGGATTGCAATATTTGGGATTATGACATTTGAGGTTGTGTCTTTTGGGATTATGATTGGCTCCCCTTGCATTTCCCCTAGCAGCAGGGGTTGAGTATACAATGTTTGTGGTCATATAGCTACAGGACACAGCTAGGTGACAGGTGGTGTGCAGTGCTACAGTATCATTTCCCTTCACCTGATTTCACATTTTGCTACAGGGTCAAAATATCATTTCTTTTGGTCCATCCAGAGTCAAATTGTGTTACCCAATGCATCTGCCTCTTCTGCCCTAACCTACTGCCAGCTGATGGGTCTCCATCTCCCAGTGTGTGAGAAGGGGCCATTTCTCCTCTGCTCTGGATCCTCCACTGTCAGCCCGTCCTTGCTGTTGTGCATTCCCCCACCGCTCCCAGCTCCACTGTGGGCCGCTCCTCGCTTCCAGACAGGGCTGGGCCTGGAGCTCCCAGCTGCTTCCTCCCCCCTCAGGGAGCTACTCTGTCTGCACTGTCATCAGTGCAGGGCTGATAGGGGACAGAGCATGCATCCATTTTCTGGCCTGTTCTTTTGGCTTCCTCAGCATCTTTACCTAGGACTGCATAGATGGTGGAGATATTACTAAAGGCTTGGGGCAACTAAAGGCAATTAGAGCATAGCAAGGGAAAGTTTTTAAAAGCACGTGATTGTACACATTACAAACACATTAAAAACTACTGAAAATTGTATATGTTATTGTGGTTAAAATGATGAGTTTCATATTATGTGAATTTTATTGCAATTGAAAAATATAGAAGTCCATGACACATGCATGGCAGCATCTATAGGCCAAAGGAAAAGTCTCCATACAAATAAAGTAAAACCTGTCCTCATTCTGTGGGCCCATCTCAGTTCCCAGCCCTGCTCCCTGCTCCTCGTGTCCCTGCCTTTGGAGAGAAACTCCTCCAGATCTCCATCCTTGGCAAATCCCCACCTTCTCCCTTTCTCTATCCCCCACCTCCCTCTAGAGAGAGGCCATCCCCTGCCCATTGAGTTTGGTCTTGCCCTGGGATCGATCTCCTTTTCTTACCAAAAAATCCATGGTGCTCTCCAGTGGCACATTTCCCTGAGTGACGTGTGCAGTGCTGACCGCCTTCGCAGAGCAGGACGTTGGTGGGTGTCCCAGCATGAGCTGCATCTTCCAGCTAGTTCCAGTAGGAAGTTACACACCTTTCCACACACCTATACTACATACCCCCTAAACCTCAATATTAATTCTCAGTCTAGCTTCGTATTTGTGAAGATAAATATTTCCCTAAATAAATACAATCTGTGTGGATTCCTATTGACAATGCAAAAAAATCACCTTGAATGCTTTTGTAGAGCTGTGTCTGAAGCCTGTCTATTTATTTTTTGGCTTCCAGGCCTTGCTCTAGGGCCTCCTCATAATAGAAAAATGGTACCCACATCAATGGGACTTTCAGAACTGTTCTCACTGAGTGTCACACACCTCAGTCCATACGCCCTTCCTAAGCGTGCGTGCCCTGCCACCTCTGCCAGCCTGGGAGGCCACACCGTCTTCTGGAGGGGCACCTCCTTGTGCTGAGGCACTGGGCGCTTGCTCTCGCGTCATATATACAGCGCAACTCATCTGCTTGTCCTCAACCCCAGTACAGAAAGGATCTTGTCTGTTGTGTACAACTTCACAAATCTTGAAATAATTCTATATTTTTGTAGCCGAATTCCACATTGCTGTCTTTTTTACAATTTTGATGTTATTGCTATAAAGAATGGTACATAATGTTTTGTTTTTCAATTCTAAAAGGGAAACTTGACTATAAATACTAAAAAACCAAAATTGACCAGTTCTGTTTCCAACTTATTATGAAAATCTAGGATACCAGGCAATATATTTTATCATACATTTTTCCGGTTTTCGTGAAGATGCTGACTGTCAAATTGGGACATAAAAAATTATGTCCTTTCATAATGGTTTCAAGTTTTGGGGGGAAAAGAACAAAATTCGCTGGTCTTTCATACCACAAAATGAAACTGCTGATTTATAGTCACCCTTTCAATGATGGCCGAAGTCAGTCACTGGCGTCATCTCGTGACCAGCTTTTCCTCATTGTCGCAGCCATCAGGGTCAGGCCTTGTGTCGCTGGTGGCCTGCTTTGTCCTGTGGGCAGATACATAGTGGCGGGCCCATATGAGAAAACACCCAGAAGGAGGAGTGGGGTGGATGAAGCCTTTTCTTCCCAGGGGCAGTCATTCTGTGCTTTGAGGCTTGTAAATCCTTGACCATGTGCCACACCGTGACTCACTGTCCTTTCTTGGAAAGTCCCTGGTTATGTTCTGCTTGCTTTGTCTCTTGGATTGTGGGACTTTGGAAGTTTTAGTGGAGAAAGTGTCATTTGGGTCTCAAATTACATACTAGGTTTAGTTGCACAACAACTAGACCTAGTATATAAGGTGTGTGTATGAAATAGAACATTCTATTTGTGTGAAATAGAACATTCTGTATGAATGTTGTTTCCCTTTTTTCTGATTGGCTGCAGAATCGAATATTCCAAATAGGAAGCACCATCCCTAGAAATAGCTTCGACTTGAGCCTTACTGTTTAAATGAATGATGACAGTGATGCCCCTGAGATCAATTTTTCCCTGGAAAACTGAGGTCCTGAAAGTGTTCCTTTCTTGCTTGCTGTGACTTGTGATGTGTGTGCACGCATGTGATTGCCCTAAACTATTTTGTGATTCCCACTTCCGTCTGTGGTAGTAATAGTACAGTGATTATACACACCTTTTGAAATATTTGTGCAAGCAAGGGAGTTGCTTATGATTTTGATTACTTTCCTTTCTACAGTTCCTCTACCCATATGTTGAAAGCCATCCTCTTTCAGAGAACCATCTGTTACTGATTTCAGAAGAGAAATGTAAGTGTATCTTTGGGTGATATATGGGGATTTCATGAATGCCACATAGTGTCCTAGTGAAGTGTGGGACATGATGGAATCTTCTAGTTGTCCACTGGCCATTGCCAAGGGTCCACGGACCTTTGATATCCAGTTGAGACCTGTAATTACAAGGGAAGGGCTTTTCCTTTGGCCCCCAAGTGTTTTCCTCAGACTTTGGTCTGTTTCCTCATCCTGAGAATGATGGGTTCTTGCATAAATAGATTTGCAATTTTGTCACGTGGTAGGATGTTTGTAAAACAGTTGCATAGGTCATTTTTGCCTTTAGTCCATCCTCCCTTGGGGTATCTGTCATAGCAGATGACTATGATATAAGCAGAGAGGCTTTGATCGAGAGGGGGGGAAGCTTTAGTAGCTAGAAGAGTTCCATGGCAGAACTTGAGGACACATACTAACTTGGGCAAATTCAGATAGAGTTAAATAAGATTGGGATATGATGTTTTTAAGTTTGGGGAGGCAGGAAAAGACAAAATTCACTGGTGAGCTTATCTAGTAAGCTGTCTCTCAGGTCATAAGATGAAACTGCTGGTTTATAGTTGGCAGGACAGGGCTGAGGGATTAGGTTTGTGTGCAGTCAGTCTTGCTCAGTTTTCTTTCTCAGGTTTTTGTAACTAGAACCAGCAGGAGGTAAGCATGCCTGACTCTAAGTTGTTACCGATGGATAGGGACCAAGACATTGACTCAGTTTTCAGGGTTTTGTTAGTATGAAATTGACCCCATAAAAATACCTCCCCCACATACCGTGTGTAATGAGTTGTCTGTCTGATACGTTCATACAAACAAGTGTTTGGTATCTGGAAGTTGAAGATAAACTCTACTAAATGAGGCTATGTAAGACTGATAGCATCGGGCAGACAAATGGCTTATTGAGGGAACCCGGGAAGCAGAAGGGCAAAATGCCTCACGTGTTGGTGATACTGAGGAGCAGAGTACGTGTGGGAGTTTGCTCCACGGTAAAAGACTGTAAAGGGAACATGGAGAAAGGTAGTTTTTTCTTTTTCTATCAGGAGACTACTTGTCTGTGATAATATTGTTTTGCAGCCAGTTGTTTAATCTGCATTGCTTTTATAAAAATTTGTTTATCACTGTTAGATGAAAAGAGTACTCGTGTTTCCTGAAGGTTAAATTATCTTTCTTTGTTTCTTTTTTAAAAGATATTGAGAAATATCATATCCAAGTCACCCAAGAAGATGGAAATAGAGTGGTAAAGATTTGAAATTCCTTTTGCTTCAGTGTTTCTTCCACAAAAAGCTACGTTTCTAGACTGTTAAAGATAGTCATGTTGTTGATACATAACGTTTTCTATATTTGACGTCATTCAAATTATAGACTTGCTGCTGTAATGTGTGAAATGATACAAATATATATGAAGTTAATCATCCCCTTTATCGCCACCTCGGCCCCCAGCCTGTGTGGGTCTTTCCTTAGCTTTTACCTTGCTCAGGCAAACCTGTGCAAGGTTAAATGCACATATGTGGGGATTCGATTGTTTTTACCAAATGAGAATCATAATGCGTACATATACCTATTTCTGTGTTTGCTTTTTACTTAATATATCAGGAGTATCCCTATAGGTTACTAGAGTATAAACTAATTGGTTATATTTATAATTTTAATGTGTATATACACATAGATAACATGAGATCATAACAGATATGCAGAGGTTTTGTATAATGTCATTTTCTTTGCTTTGCTTGTTTTCCACATCTCCCTTTTCTTTTTACCTCTAACTTTTGTTCACAACCTGGAATGTATCCTTTTATACTTTTCTCCATACTTGTATAATCTTCTCCCACCTCTGACACACCTAGGGGTTTGTTTATTATTTACTCCACTCAACTTCATGAATTAACTACAAGTCAACTAGAGTAGCTCCAATTCATTCTCTTTAGAAGTACATAATAGTCCCCAGTGTAAATATCCACATTTTCCTAACCATTCTTCTGTGGATGGATATTCACTTGACTCCCAGTTTTTTGTTTTTGTATTACAAATCATCTCAAACATTTTTAATCATATAGTTATATGTTTTGTTATATATATTTCTTTGGACTAACTCCTCAGAGACAAATTGTTGGGTTGGGTTGTTGGTTGTATGTGCACTTAATAAATTTCAACAGATTTTGCCAGACTACTTTGCAAAAACTGTGACAATTGACAATTTTACAAGCAAAATGTAAGAGTATCCTTTCCATCTATACCATTAATAAGTGTATTACCTTTTCAAAAATTCCAATTTGATTGGGTGTAAGTTGATACCTTATTATCTAAGTCTGCATTTCCTTTAATATTAATGGATTTAAGTATCTCCTCCTATGCATATTGCTATTTGATCTGCTTTCTGAAGACTGTTTAGTTATATCCTTACCTAGTTTTCTGAGTTTTTTTTCTTGATAATTTAAGATATTATTGATATTGAAATGATTTCCTTCAATATTTAGTCTGTATCAAAGTAGTCTTTCCTGAAAATTTTAAAGTTATATGAACAAAATTGAAGTATAAAATGGCATTTATAATTATGTATCAGCTATTGAAAATCTCAACAAGAGGCCTGGCTGGAAAGTTACCAGAAGAAAGTGTGGGGCTGGAGCTCTGGGCTACCAGTGGTCACCAGTGGCTAAGTGGATGGGAGTGCCAGGGCCAGGGGTCAGAAGACCGCAAGAAGAAAAAGACCAAGACTGTGAATCCCAGCGCCAGTGAGGAGAATTTAGAGGAGAGAATTGAATTAAAAAGTTGGGGTCAGGAACTGGGATTGAATGTAGACAGAGGACTAGCTAGTAAGAAGAGAGTTTGGGAGACAAGAGAGAGACAGAGACACAGGGTAGGAAAAGTGAAGGGACACCTGTCAGCAGCCCAGAAAGGATCCTGCCAGCCAAGATGGTACAGCCTCAGCATTCCTTCCTTCATGTGTGCTCTTCCAAGAAAGGAGCACTTCTGCCCTCATTCTTAAAGGCTTGGGTGACAGCTTCTTAAAGCAGTATGCAATTCCACATATTCTTCATGACATCCCTGCATGATAGAGGTGGCATTATAATTATCCCTATTTTTACAGGGAAGACAGCAACCAAGACTCACAGAAGTGAGGTGACTAGAGAGAGGAAAACTTTGAGCCTTGAACCTGGGTGCACCACAATTTGATATTCATGTTCTCATCAGCATATGCCTTTATCTACCCCAACCCAACAAATTTCAGAAAAATGGAAGGATTTTCTAAGGTTTACAGACAGCTACTCTTGGATTTTTTTCTCTAGCATCACTTTCCTCTGGCCTAAATGTAACAGATCTGGGCAAGAAAGAAACAGAAATACAACCCATTACCCCTTTATGCTGTGCTGCTGCCCCTTGTTTTTTCTACCTGTCTTCATTCTTCACTCATTTATCTTAATGTAGATTACTTTTGTTTAATAAGCATTTGGAGGAACAGTGAATTCTTAATTCCTCTGTCAAGTTATTTTGAGGTTAGCTGATGTACTGAAAGGACACTGGCAGGGTGCCAGGACCCCGGGATTCCAGGCCATGCTCAACTAGCTATGCAGCCTAATCTAACTTCTCTGGACCTTAGTTTTCTCACCCCGAACGAGGTTGCATTAAATGGTTTCTGGAATGTCCTGATTCTAAGTTTCTAAAGTTCTTTGATTTTGTTACTTAGTTACACAAATATTTTACATGTGTAATATCCTTGGTAATTTACCCTTGCACACTTCATTTCATTTTTCCTTTTTTGAGCAAGCATTCCTTGAATACTACTCTATGCTAGAAACAGTCAAGACATTGAAAATAGAAAGATGCCATAGAAGAGTGTATACTCACTGGGGGAGACTTATAGCATTAATTAAAATTGTAGTAGAAACATGACAAAGTACTATAGGAATACAGAGGTGAGGAGCTTTGCCCTTCATCTTGGGGAGGTGAGGGAAAGGTTTGTACAGGAAAGCAATGCCTAAGTCAGGTCTTGAAGGATGAGTAGTTGAGTATTGAGAGATGGGGAATATCATCATAACTCATTGTGGAAGACATAAAAGTAAGAAGCATGGCCAAAGCCACATGGTTGGTTTATGGTCAAACTGGGCTCATTGCCTAGTAGTACTTCTCCCAGGCCTGAGTTTTCATTGGCATCACAGCTTCTACCTGAAGTAGTGAAGGCTTCTTGGCTCCAGAGATCTGACTTGAGGGGGTTTATGTACAGATGAGGAAGTTCTGAATCTTCTATTAATGCACCTGTTGATTTTGGGAGGTGTGGTCTTGCCTTCAACAGCACCAGCCTGTCTGCCAAACTGGGAACAAGAATAAAATAGTATATTGTAGAGTGTTTGGGAAGACGAAGTAATGAAATGATGCCTTAAAACTTTTCTGGAAAGATTGTATGTGTGTTGAAGTTGGGGGAGGTGCTAAAAATAAACTGTGGAAATATTTGTTTCATACAGATAGATATGGAAGATAATTATGAACTTCAGATATTTTCTCCTTTTAGAATTATTTATAATTTTTTTTTTTTTTTTTTTTTGCCTCTTTAGGTGATTAAAAATTCTGGCCATCTCTCGAGAGACAGAATAGCTGAGGATTTTGTTTGGGCTCAGTGGGATATGTCAGAGCAAAGATTGTACTACATTGACCTAAAGGTGAAAACTAATCCATGGACACTCCTTTTTATAGGAATAATTTGATTTGACATTATCATTACTGCAATTTATTAATCACTACATTTTCATTGATATGAACAGTAAATGAAGGTTTATTAAAAATAATGAAAAGATTTGCATTACTGTTTGTTTCTTGATTACTTCCTTTTCTTTTTCTTCCTAGCATTTTTTGTTTTGGTAATATGTCATTCTGTTTTCTCTTTTAGAAATCAAGGAGTATCTTAAAATGCATCCAGTTTTATGCTGATGAGAGCTTTAAGTTAATGGTAAGTCCAGAGAATGATCAGGCTATCGGAAATTGGAAAACAAATTTCCTCCTTTTTAAAGAGAATTGCTATCATAAACAGCATCTTAGCATTCTTGATGTGTTAGTCACTTTTATGAGCAAGTAAAATAGTTCTTGCCATCTCAGTTCTTCAACTCTGTAACAAAGGCAAATCATATAGGTTATTAGAACACACATAGGAAATCTACACTAGCTGAATGCCTCACATTAAAGAAACCAAGTGTTAAGTGGGGAGTAATAGAAAGTAGTACATGTGGTCTATTTGTAATAAATAGTTATTTGACCAAAAAAGACTTAGGAGTATGGTGGATTTGAGAATAAAGAAGAAAAGCCAATGAGAGAACATAATTAGTAAAAATCTAGCATTATTCCTGAAAAAGCTATTTGGAACTTTAGCCTTGTTGTGAGGAGTCCCTAATATCTTTATCTGTGATGGACAGTATGTTGTTGTTCTTCTTGAATAGGACTAATATTGGAATCTAATACAGATTGGTGTCATACCATTACAAGAACTTCATTTGCCCCTCTTGCCCTTTTGTTGGCTTACATACTCTTCTTCCAAAGACACCATTCTATCCCTCCTTCCTTCCTTCCTTATGTGGTCATCTATCTCATAAAAGGCTACTGCTTCCAATTGGCTTATTATATGACCCATTTATGATATTCAAATCTAAGGCAAAGTTTGCCAAGCATTAGCCCTATAAGAAATAAATACACATCAAGCTCGTGATTGTATGTAAACTGCAGAATATTCCCAGTGGACTTTCTGAGATGTGAATTTGGGGTATGACCTCTAAAGATAATGATGGTTAAACGGGCTTTTCGTCGTCAGGCAAGCTCAGCACTGACGCTTGCCCTGGCTGTCAGAGCTGTCATCACTTCATGTCATTTTTGGGTTCATTTTCTACTCATTTTTTTGACAGTTTGAAGCACCCTTGGACATATCATTAAGTGACTCAGGATTTAAGTAAGTTATTTATAGATTGTTACCAATTTTTTATAGACCCTTGTGGGCAAAATGATTATATTTATTCCTAATCCATGCTATATAGATAAATGTGTATTCTGTGTGTTATATCTTTTTTATATTCTTCTCTATAGAGAATATAAACATTTTTATCAAGAATGAACACAGAATTTTCATACAGAGTCAATTGTATTGATTTCCTTACCCATTCATTTTTGTAGGGCATCTCATTTATTGTTACGTATATGGATATGCTTTGCTCCCTATGAGATTCAGTGAGTCAAAGAGCTGTGTTTAGAATCAAGCCTGAAAACCCTTTTTTGTAGCTCAGCTCAGTCGATTACATTACTTTCTTTAGATTTCCTTTTTTACAGAAAAGGCAAGGTTTTTTTCTTTTCTAGACTACTTTACATGTAGTAAAAACGTGAGACACTTTTGAAAAACAAAATGCCATCAATGTGTAGAAGAAATAAAAGTCTTCCTGAATTAGAGCAATGATAATCCTAAACTGTTAAGTATTTCATTAACTTTATTTCATCATATATGAACATTTAGTTGTTTCTTTTGAAACATAAAAAAGTTATAAAAATGTCAGTTGAAAGTAATATATATTTTTTTCTGTATTGCCAAGCCATTGTCATTTATGTACCAAGTATTAAATTACTGAATTTATTAACCAAAAACTGGTATCTACTTAAATTTCTCAGGAACATGTTTCTACTTCTGTAGGTATATTATAGTAGCTACATCGTTTATTAGGGGATATTTTTAAATGCATTTGATAATTTATCCTTTATGTTCTTAGACTTGTCAACTTTGGGTGTGATTGTCGTCAAGGCCAAGAGAAATTATCCAAACACCTGACTCTGTGTGTTTTTACCAACCATACAGGTACAACCAGAGTTGTATTTGTTAATTTATTCAACTGTCTATGAGTTCTAGACAAAGTTAAGTCATCATTTAGCTATATGGATTTTGAAAATGAAATGTAGCAGGGCCACATTCTTATTAGTGATCATGTGGATTTTCATATATCAAATTATTTTCTCCACTGATTTAATACATTTGCTATCTGTATCAAAGGAGCCACAGTCAGCAGAGTTATGGTTATTATTTGTATCATTCTAATGGGGGTGGATTTGTATTTAATCTACACTTTCTCACCTCCATCTTTTAAGAAATGGCATACAGTGATTGTGATGCTTTTTGTGTCAGGCTTACTGATGTTTTTGGGTTCTAAACTTTTGTACCTGGCTTTAAGGGCCATGCTAAAACCTATCAATCTAACAATCATAGCCTGACATAAAGTTGTTAGTATACAATATTCTGTTCCTTCATATCTGTTTATTATACATAGAGAAAACGTGGGGGGGCGCGGGGGCGGGAAAGAATACCTGAAAATGAGAGAAGAATGTAATTACATTCAGTGAAAACTGCTCATTACTTTAATAAACATTTAAATAATCAACTCTGATAACCAAATATAACAGCCATTTTAATCTCCTAACTAGAGTGGATATTTACTTGAGTTGAGTAGTACTTTGACTAGAATTGTATTCTTTTAAAGCCAAGTTATGTAGTATTTCTCCATTAAGCCAACATTTATTGAGCACTTAATGTTTGCTAGGTATTGGGGAAACAATAATAAGCAAAATAGGCCTAATCTTTATTAATATAAAGGTTGCTACTTGGTGTGCATTTTGGACATGGTATAAGTGCATGCATAGTGTTTAAATAGAATCATGATAAATATTGTGAATGAGCATTATAGGAAGCCATGAGAGCATATGATGGAGGTTTAATTGAAGATACTCATATCTTCAACTGTTTTGGTTCAACCCATCCATCCTTGTTTCTTCCCCCTAAGACATTTCATCCTATTCTGTCTTAGTCCTGAAAATCAGTCCTTTTCCCACTTCACTCCTGCATAATCCATCCCAGTTTTTACTGTCCAGCCCCTCGGCCACAGAGTCCTCCTCCATACACTAGTCCAGGGGGAGTTCAAGGAAGGAAGTGATATTTCAGGGCAGACTTGCATGATTGTATGAACTCAGGCCAGTGGCACTGACGTAGAGTAAGCAAAGAGGAGAGTTTGCGGGAGAAAGCTGGAGAGGCAGGCAGGGGCCAGACTGCCTTGTGAATCATGGAAGGATTTTACATTTTATCCTAAGAGCTGTGAGAAGTTGCTGAAGAGTTTTTTTCTCATTATACAATTTATATTGAGAATGTTTAAGCTCACTAAAAAGTTCAAAAATAGAGTAAACATCATTGTACCTTTTACTTAATTATATCATTTGTAGTGTTTACTTTATCATTCTCCCTATATATAGGTATCATTTTCTTCTTTTTGACCTAAGCATTCAAACATAAGTTGGAGACTTTATAACAGTTTACCACTAGATAATCCACATACCTCCTTTGGTTAAGGACACTTTTCTACATAATCTCTGTTCCATTGTCACTGAAAAATTAATTACGTTAATAAACTTTATTTGTATTCAAATTTCCATTGTTTCAAAAATGTCATATGTATGTATATGTATGCAAATATACATATGTATATAACTTTTAAAGTCAGGATCTCATCAAGATTCATGTATTACATTTGCTTATTAAATCTTTGTAGTCTATTTTAATGTTAATGTACAACAATCCCCATGTCCTACCCCTTGCCTTTTTTCTTTTTTGTTTTCACAACATTGACATTTTGAAGAGTCCAGACCATTTGCCATATGGAATGTCCTACATTCTGGATTTGTCTAATTATTTCCTTGCATAGGCATTTAGCTTTTCCTCTATCTTCTACACTTCCTGTAAACTGGAAGTTATGCACAACTGTTTAAAGGTATAGTTAGACATAGATTAAACATTTTCAGTGAGAATACTTCACAGGTGAGGATATGAATTTCATTTGTATCAGATCAGGAGGCATATAATGTCAGGGTGTCCTACTGTTAGCAGCCCTGTTTGGTCATTTAGTTAAGTAGTAACCACTGTGTGTCCTTTGTAAAGGTACATTTTATCCTCTGAATTAGTAATTTGTAGGGTGACACTTTGCCACCATGTGACTATCCTTTTCCCTAACAACTTTTCACCTAGCAATTTTAGTATCCACTGATGCTCCTACACTAAAGTTTTCTAAGCAGGCAAGACACGTGTAGATATGTATTTTTAAAATTTTACTGTGGCTGCTGTGCAAAGAATGGATTGAGGCAAGACAAAAAGTATGGAGATGAGCAGTTAGGATGAAGTTGTAGGTGAATGTTTGAGATGATAGTTGCTTAAACTAGGATGGGCAATAGAGCCAGAAGGCAATAGATGGATTTGAGATGCACTTTGGAGATGCAACTAAGAGGACTTGCTATAAATTAGATGGAAAGAGATGGTTCTCAGATTTCTGGCATCAGCAAATAGGTGAAAAGTTGTACCATTTACTGAGGTATATAGGGGTTTGGGTGGGACTTGGAAAGGAAGCTCATGAGTTTTGTTTTGAGCATGGTATCTATGAGATTGGGAGCTTAGAAGAGGGGCAGAACTAGCAATGAATAAATGTGAAATTTGTCAGAATGTAGCTGGCATCTGAAGTCCTAGGAAGGGGGGGTAATAAGGTCAGAAGAGAAGACATTTAAGAATAAGATCTGGAAACATAAATATATAAATGTTAGGTGGACCATCCAAAGGAAAAGGAAAAAACCATGTTTGGAGAGAAAGGAGGAAAACCAAAACAAGTGTAATATTAGAGGGGAGCTTCACAAAGGAGACAGTGGCTAACTGAATAGGTAGTGACAGGTGGGTCTGGCAGCAGGAGGTTACTGTGGTCTGTATGTGTTGGGGAATTGAGGTGAAATCGTGATCATGCTGGATTAAGTGGCATATGGGAGTTGAAACAGTCATAGCAGCATGTGTAGACACGAGAGAGGCAGCAGCCAGAGGGGAAAGTGTGATTCAGGGAGTATTACTTTTTAAGATGGTAGGGACTCTAGGATATTTCAATATACACAGGATATACTTAGAAGGAAAAGAAAAATACACAGCAGAGAGGAATAACTGGCGGAGAGGATTTGCTTGGAAAGCAGGTTGGAGTGGGATGCAGGGCTCACGTAGAAGGAGCAGGGTAAATTTTTCTCTGGTCCTTTGCTTGAGATCTATCGGATATAAACAATCATTCTAGGCTTTCGTTCTGTGTGGTTTTTACTCCTTTTCATTTTATTCCCACAAGAATTTCTCATAAACGGTAGCAGCTGTAACTTATAAATGGGCTATTTATGACATCTTATTTAACCAAGTGTTACGCTTATGTGGCATAAAACGTGAAAGAGTCTGTGTTTTTTCCTTTCTCAGCAATGTTGGGGAGAGTAGAAAAATGAGCCTTACTCTTCAGTCAGCTTTGAAATAGAAAAAATGAGCCTGTTTCAAATGAGATGCTTCTAGATTTAAGTTGAAACAAGCCAGAGAAGCAACCTTTTGGTTTTTGACTAATAGAAGTTGTCAGTTCATGTATTTCCCAAATTACTTTTCAGAAATGATTATTTTACCTTTGTTGTTTAAGACAACATCTCCAGCAAAGTAGGCCTGGAGAAGGAAGCAGATAGCCTAATCCAAACATGGCTCCCTCTAGAATAGCTTAATTCTTCTCCAGCACTGCGGCCAGAAAACGTGGTTCATGAGAGGAATGCAAATAGACTCAAGGCCTTCTAGAAACTTTAACTCTTCACATTAGTGATGATGATATAATAAAATTTGACATTCACTTGTCACATCTTGGCCAATCGGGAGCTATTTTGTCCTTTCAGCTTTATTTGTTACATTCCTGGAAGCATCTTTGTCCTGCATTTCCCTGTCCTAAGAATTGCAGTTGGCTACCTTCCGAGGAATTGGAGATCACAATCTGGATGGTGTGTGTGCTCATGAGCTTGATAGTGGGCAAAAGCGTCGCTGTTGTTGACAGGCCACTTGTGTATTATTCAAGATTATGGGTTCTTATAAATTTTTCTAGTAAGTCTTTCACAGTAGGAGGACAAAGTCTTTCTAAGCATTGAGAGGAAAGAAAATGTTCTCATTCCTTCCCTGTCTTGACAGTCAACTCTGAATTTGCATTCATCATCATTTTAAAGCCTTTGCTAATTTGAAAGGGAAAATGTGGTGCCTTGTTTTAATTTCTATTTCTTTATTCCTAGAGAGTCTAAGATTTTATCTTTTTTTTTTTTTTTTTTTTAGCAATTTCTTGCTCCCTGTGATTATAAAATATAAAAGAATGGATAAACCAGTGGGTTGGTTTTTTTATTTGCTGATAATGTGTTTACTGTATGAAAGTAGTCAAAGTGGTACATGAAACTTTTGTAACTCTTATAATTATTTTGTTTATGCTTTAGTGATAGGATTACTTTTATTCCCCGTGAGTCTACTGTAATTTTAAAGAAAAGTTATCACTATGTGCTTAGTAACCATAACAGTAATTTTGCATGTAACAGAATTGTTACCATTTTATCTGATAAAATTATTCTTTTTATTTTGTGTTTTCAAGATATTGCAATAAAATGTGCTTCTCACCACACATTGCAGTTTTAAATGTCATTAGAAATAGTCACAAATGATAATATTATAACAGAATGCTTATAAATGTCCTTAGGGGAAATGGGCTTTTTTTTCCCCTACCATGATTCTTTGATAAAGGAAATAGTGGAGTATGATAGAGGAAATATTGAAATACACTGAAGTAGAGTGGTGCTTGAATTCATAGCTAGCTTAACATTATTAATAGCTCTGGGCCTAGACACCAGGTTTCCTAACTCCTTGTCAAGTTGCCTTCTACCTGGCAATCTCCTATTTCAGTTAATCACAGAAACACTAGCATTAGAAGTATCAGTTTAAGCATAATGCCCTCCTTTGTGGGCTACCGATGGGCAGCTGCTGGAGACGATGCACGGTTTTACACACTGAGAGAGTGGCGAAGGCTGATGCTGTTCTGGAGTGGTGGGTGAGTGAAGGCAGTCAGTGCTTATCAAAAAGGCCACTCTATGCTTAGAGCTCTCCTTCGGCCTTGGGCCCATATGAGTGGGTATGGACTCACACACCATGGTTAGTCCTGTTGCCCCATAAGATAGATTACACTTAGCCTTTCAGTCAAGATAAACAAAACTGGAAGCTTTCTATAAAGAGGAGAACATATTTTTGATAGACTGGTTAAGTGTTAAGAAGTAAGATTAAGTGGCTTAGGAAACTTATCTATGACATAGACACTTTTTAACTCGGCTAAACACCTTTTTACTTTTAGGAAGTTTGTGTGTCTGTTACAGCCCGAAGTGTGCTTCTGTGGAACAAATTACATATTCAGTGTTTTACATTCATAAAGGTACTTTTCCTTCCTTCCTTTTTTACATTTATTTAGTCACTTTTTCCAAGCAATAGCAAATTAGATAGATTTTAAGTCTTATTATCTTGCAGTCAGTATTTATCATTGCATTTTATATCTGTATACCTATGTTTCCTGAAAAAAATTTACTAATGGTGAATATTAAGTTAATTATTTTTACGTATTATAATTCTTCCCCGGACATATATATTTTTCTAGGCCTGTGTACGAATCCTAATGGATGTATTGCCCAAAGTGTGTTTGCTTTATAGTTATTATTTTTTTTTAGTTTTTTTTAATTTCAGCATATTATGGGGGTACAGATTTTAAGGTTTCAATAAATTATAGTTATTATTAATTGGAAAGTATCTGTAGATTTAACTTACGGAGTTACATAGGATAGATCTAAGCTATATTCCATTTCACATATCTATGGCCCAAGATTGTGATACATCAAAGGTGGGGGGGGGAGCAGGAGTAAAATTCCCAACCTCTTCCGGTTCTGTAGTAGATCACAAGTGCCATTTAATAGTTTTAGTATGAACCATGCTAAGGAGTAATTATTTTGATTAATTAGTTCCTTAAAATTAGTATTTGTGTAGTACATACTGTGGGTGGAGTTATAATTTTTTAAAGATGACATTTTTCCCAATATTTAAAAAAATTTTATGCCAAGCCATACCAGAGTTTATTATTCTGCAGAAGTACCTGACATTACCTTCCAAGGTTAGAGATCAAAATAAAAAAGTTTAAGAACTTAGTAATGGAGAAACTAAAAGTTAAATTCAGAACTAGACATATATATTATACATGCTTAAATAGTATAAGTTTGAGATTTTATGGAAAATTTTTGCACATTTTTCTAATGATTAATGATCAACACTAGTAAATAAAACTTTCCTGAAGATTGAGTGTTAGAAAAGTAGAGAGTAAAGTCCAATACACTGGGTTCAGTAGATGGTCTACCCTTCCTAACTGAAAGTGGAGTTTGTAAGTGACTCAGGGAAGCATGAGGGTCTCAGTGACTACATGTTACAGCCGTGAGCCTGGAGGGGTGAGGCTCAGTGAGCCATCTGGTCTCTTTCATCTCCTGAATCCTTCCCTCCCTGAATCCTTCCCTCCCTGAACAGTTCACCTCTTACTGTTGTGCAAGATTACACGTAAGCCCAGAACAACTACTGGAACACATTCCAGTAGTTCATTCAGTAGTTCATTCACATTCCAGTAGATCATCTGCACACAGATGATCCCCCTTCAATGCTGGCTTTTGTAGAATATGGGAAACCTTGAAATCTAGAAGTCAGAAGATGCCTACTATATTAGTTTCATAGTCAGTAAAAGTTGAGAGTGTTATATAGAGTCACCTTGGGTGGAGTTCTGGTTCTTTGTTTCCTAACATTCTTTCTCTGGCTTCATGTTCTCTCTCTGCAGGACACAGCAAGACCTTCACTGCTGCTCTCGGGAGTGCTGGCACACACGTGACAAAAGGCATTACTTTTCTCAACCTTGGTGGGTGATGGAGAGATGTGCCTCTCTCTGCTCTGACCGTCCTCTCTGCACATGCTGTGCTTCAGCCTTCACTCTCTCCTCATCTTCTCTGTGCACCCCATTCCTCATGCTGCTTTGACACTCAGATTGTGATGACAATCAGTGACCCTTTTGAAGCCCAACAGGAGAAGGTTATCTCTGGAATACACCCTTCCCTATGAACTCCATTAGCCTTTGGGTCTGTGGGATGTGTCTCCCTTTTTAGAGAGCCTAGGATGAGAACTTTATCTTTTGGTAGCAGTCTTAAAAGCTATTTGTTAGTGTAGAAATGATGCCCGTGTATGGGATGTTCCCTAACAGCCTATGAGAAGTAATACATCATGTTGTCCCTTGCTTCTAGAGAGGATGGGGCTTCTGGGAAACTGTCCATTTCCTATTGCTAATCATGAAAATCTTCCAAGTCCCACTAATGATTTATGGATCAACTTGAGTGAGTTGCTTTCATCAACTAAATATGGTGAAGGGAACCTGAGTATTAGGTTTGAGCATATTAAGGAAATCTATAATGAAGAAAATTAAAAAGGGTTTATTGTACTTCCCTACTGAAAACTGCTTTTTCATGCCAGTTGGGATGTAGGGCACAAACAGGTTAGCACAAGACTAAGGAATAGAACTATTACTTGCCTACATATGGGACATGGCACAGTATTTTAAAAAAGAACATTTCAGGTTTAGAGCACATGATTTTTTTTTTCAAAAGAATTAAATTGTTTATTGATTACACATGATAATGGTTGATACACAAGCTTCATTCCCATCTATAATTTTTATCTGGTACCATTATTCAATTTAGATATATTGCATAGGATATGCCAACAATCATCTTTATAACCAATAATTCAATGATTTTTCCTTGCATGACCCCTTTTAATGGTGAACTTCAGGTCACAACAGTAACCATCAGTTCAACTACACCAAGGTTTCTGAAGACAATAGCTTCTTCACCCAAGCAGGTTGTAAATGAATTTCAGATAGAACCTGGCATCACCCTGAAGGAATTCTATCTTCACACTTTTGAGGAAGTTTACCAAAATGGCTTCAGAGTAGACTAACTTTACACAGCACATTAAAAAAAAAAAAAAAAGACACATTTATTCAGCATCATGATCAAACTATTACATTTAGCAATCAACAGCATGGGTGCAAAAAAAAATCTACATTTTAAAACCCTTTTTGGGAATGTTTTACACTTTCCACAGAACAGAAACTAAAATAACCTGTTATACAATTAGTCACAAATACAGTCCTCGAGTTTTTTGCCCATACACATGAGTATTGTCTAAAACATGTCTTCTTTGGAGCAGCTAGGCCCTGCCACCACTGTGCTTGGTTGAGTTCACAAATCTGTTGTAACCTGTAGCTTCCCTGTTACTTCTCTGGCTCTCCTCTCCTGCTAAGCTTTGTTTCCTGGGAATAATTAAAACCTTGTGCTACTGCCATAGCTACTGCTGCTACTGGAACCACCATAGCCACCTTGGATTCATGGTTTGGCAAAGTATTGGCCTCCACCACCATAGGGGCCAGAGTTTCTGCCTCCAAAATTTCCTCCCTTCATGGGTCCAAAATTTGAAGACTGATTGTTGTAATTGCCAAAATCATTGTAGCTTTCACGACCTCCAGAATTGCTTCCATCATTACCAAATCCATTGTACCCATCCCCACTGCCCCCATATCCACCACCACCATGGCTGCCACCAAAGCCACCTCGACCACTGAAATTTTCTCCACGGCCAAAGTTGTCATTGCCACCAAAACCACCTCCATGACCACCACCAAAGTTTTCAGAACCACTTCGACCTCTTTGGCTGGATGAAGCACTAGCCATCTCTTACTTTGACAGGGCTTTCCTTACTTCACAGTTGTGGCCATTCACAGTATGGTATTTCTGAATGACAGTCTTATCCACAGAATCATGGTCATCAAAGGTTACAAAAGCAAAGCCTCTCTTCTTGCCACTGCCTCTGTCAGTCATAATTGCAATCACTTCAATTTTCCCATAATGTTCAAAATAGTCTCTTAAGTGATGTTCTTCAGTGTCTTCTTTAATGCCACCAACAAAGATCTTTTTCACAGTTAAGTGGGCACTTGGTCTTTGAGAATCTTCTCTGGAGACAGCTGTCTTTGGTTCTACAACTCTTCCATCCACCTTGTGTGGCCGTGCATTCATCGCTGCATCCACCTCCTCCACGGTGGTGTATGTGACAAACCCAAAGCCCCGGGAGCGCTTGGTGTTTGGATCTCTCATTACCACACAGTCCATGAGCGTTCCCCATTGCTCAAAATGGCTCCTCAGACTCTCATCGGTCGTTTCAAAGCTCAACCCTCCGATGAATAGCTTCTGCAGCTGTCCAGGTTCTTTAGGAGACTGACTTAGACATGACGGCAGTGGGAAGAGAGACTTCAATGATGCTTCCTCAGCAGAGTCCACAGACAGAAAGGCTAGAGCACGTGATTCTTTGATGTCTTTTTCCATTCCTATTTCCCAGACTGTCTACTGTCATGACAAAGGTTTAGGAAAGTGCAATGTGAGAGAACTGTACAAAGTGAGAACTAAAACTGATAAGAAAGTCCATAAAAAGATTTTTTATTTTGAATGATACTACTGATATGGTTAGATATCTTAGGCTAAGTGGGCCAGTATGTGGCAAATCTTAACATCTCTGAACCTGTGGGACATTGCCAGAAAGAAGCCTGGTTCCACTGCTTCCTGTGATAAGAGATAAATGTAAGGTTTCCTGGGTCTGGGGCTTGACCCTTATCAGCAGTGCTGTATCAGCCTCCCATCTCGAGAATGATGTGGGAAACTTTCCACTAAGAAAACTTAGCATTTTTTGAGGGCAAAGGTATCCTCCTCCTCCTCTCTCTTTTTATTTTTTTTTGTTTACCCCTGGGAATGACTTGAAAAGGGTAGGCCATGACTTAATCTGTGATCTCCAGAGTGTGGAGAGGGCAGAGACATGAAGCTTTGTGAAAATAGGCTATATTACATAAGTTATCTTTCTTTCTTAAGTACATTTTATTTTATAGGCACAAAACTGTACCCAAGATTAAAACTGTTCTAGTAGTAATTTTTATGAGAATATTTTTTTGAGTAATGTATTTTGTTCCTATTAATTGCATGCAATTTCTCTGAATTGCCACCCTATATAAAGGAGGTTATATTGATTAAAATATTAAAGAATATTGTTTTGAAGTTCTCCATGAACCTCAAACACTTGTATATAAGAAAGATATATTTATAAAAAGCTACCATTTATTTAATGAATACTACATGCTAAGTATTTTACTTAAGTGATTTTGATCCTTATAACAATTCTGCTTGGTGATATAATCCCCATTTTACACATAATGAAATGAGGGTTCCAGAAGGGTGAGATGTATGCCCAGGCTTATTTTGGTGTCATTTGTGAGGGATACTACATTAGTTTTTCTTATTTATTAAAGTTTATTTTATTTTTTGACAAGTTGTAATTGTATATATTTATGAGGTACAATATGGTGTTTTGATACATATATGCATTGTGGAATGAACAAATCAGTCTAATTAGCACATTCTACATTAGTTGCTATTGTGCACCAAATTACCATAAACTTAGGGCTTCAAACAATACAAACATTCTGTTATAGTTCTGGAAGTCAGAAGTCTGAAATGAGTCTTGAGGGGCTAAAATCAAGGTGTGGGCAGGACTGGCTCCTTCTAGAGGCTCCAGGGAAGAATTTGTTCATTGCCTCTGCCAGCATCTAGAGCTGATCATTCTTGGCTTGTGGCCACGTGACTCCATTGCTTCCTTATCATATGGTCATCTTCTCTTCTGTAGTCAAATCTCCCCTTCTTATAAGGACTTCTGTGTTTACATTGGGACCTCCTGGATAAACCAGGCTACTTTCCCCATCTCAAGATCCTAATCACATCTACAAGGTCTCTCTTAACGTATTCACAGGCTTTGGGGATTAGCACATGAATATCTTCAGTCGAGGTCATGCAGCCCACCACAGCTACTACTGACATTTTTACTACTGCACGTTTAGGGTCTGAGTATCTCTAGAGCCTACTCACCAAATGCCAATAGGAATTCCTTTACCCTTATCCCAATGATGGGACACCCCAAAATACCCTATTATATTTTCAAATGCCACCTCTCCCAGGGATATAGTACCACCCTAATTAACTGGTTAAGTGGTAGAGCTAGGAGTTTAGTTCATTTGATTCCCAAATCCTTTTCCCTATGTTCCACTATATCATTATTTGTGTTTTTCTACCAAAGTGTTGTCATAAGATTATTGCAACCATTTGTGCTAGGCACTTTAACATAATTTAATCCATGTCGACTAAAAGGACACTTCTAAGTTAACTGGTTTGAGTTTTATATCCTCTTTCCTCTCTTTTCCATAGAACGCCTTCTATGTAAATGATTAGCATGTGTTTCTTTGCTGCTTAGAGAAAGGAGGCTAGCTGGCTCATTTATAATCTAAATGTTTCATCTATATAAAAATTCACTACCACCATGCGAATTTCTGTTTTTTTCTAAGATCCTAGAAAAATTACTGGCAAGGGCTACTTCTACCCTCCCATTCTCCAGAAACCTATTTTTTACACCTTGTCTCAATCTGGGTACAAATGTTCTTGCTACAAAAATATCTAGTGTAGGGAGTGAAGGTATGAATCCTAGCAGCTAGCTATGCAAGGAAATAAATTAGTACTTTATAAAGTATCAGAATGTCTGCAGAGATTGTTTTGATGAATATTAGTTAGAGGGTTCCCTAAACAAGATGCTGATGATGAATGGGCAAACATGGTGAACTAAATTTTAGAGCTTCCCCAAACTGGAAGAAATTATGAAGAAAATTCCAATTATGAGCTATTCCCAGTCTTTCAGATTAAGTAATAATTCATCTTGCTTGATATTTTTTATTTTAATTTGTTCTCAGAGATCTTTTAGATTCACATGAAGCCACAATTCATTTAGAAACAAAAGTATGGGTATAAATTAAGATAACCATGGCTAAATCTCTGAGAAAATTAGCCACAGATAAAAATAAATGAGATCTGGCTAGTGAGATGAAATGGCATCAGACACGTGGTTATTACATTGCGAAGAACTTTGGTGTTTTAAGAACTTCAAAGAAAAATAGGGGTGGTGTGAAGTTCTGGGCTTTATCTGTACCTGTAAAGCTCTTACTGCATGTAGATGACTTAAACCTTTCTCTTTTATAGACTACTATGTGGCTGTTTACTTACCTGGTCATTTCTTCCATCTGCTTAACATTCAACATCCAGACTTGATCTGCCACAGTCTGTTTCAGGCAGGTATGGCTGTAGTTTTTCTCTCATGGATATTGCCCATTTGGGTTTGTTTTGACTTTGATATCTATGTTTGGGTGAGAGAACATTCTTTTCTGATTTTTTCTTTTTCTTTTTTTTTTGCCAGGAAATAATGAAATGATTGATATGCTACCTCATAGTCCTTTACAGTCACTGTCAGGGTGCCTGGTCCTGGATTGTTGTTCTGGAAAGCTCTATAGAGCACTCCTCAACCAGTCGTATTTATTATGGTTCCTATGGAACACCTGCCTAGACTGTGAGAAGATGGCCGCCCTGCACTGTGTGCTGTCCTGTGGCCGAGGCCTACGGGTCCTGGAGGGCCAGGTGCGAATATAGCTCATGTTCAAAAATTAGCAATAGACAACACCGAATGCACTTGTTTAGTGGTTGAAAATAAGCAGTTATTTCTATTTGGTAACAACCAGTGAGGTTTATGGTCTCTGTCTTAACTCCAACATGTTCTTTTGTGGTTCATTTTTATGGATCCTTACAAGACCTCAGGCTGAGGCTATGTCTGTTTTTTGAGTATTCTCTTTTCCATATTGTGAATCAATGTTGAACTACATCAGTAACATTACAAAGAAATGTTCAGTTGATAATGAATTTCTCAAACATTTACTTTTTCTCCTGGTCTATATTTGGTGCACAATTGTCAAAGGCTAAAAACTGGTGGCAGATATTTATAACATTTTTAATAAAGATAGCTTATATTTGCACTGCACATTGAAGTTGCAAAGCACTTTCACACATTCTCTGTCATTTAATTTTTATAGCTATCCTGTGAAGTCAGAGAAATCCCCTCATCACACTTGGTTGGGACCAGTGGGTGGCTGGTTAATTAAAAAAAACGTACATTAGAAATTTTGTTTTAAACTAAAACATGAAAATGCACATTTGATGTAAATTAAGGCCTTTGTGCATCAGCTAATTGGAGTTCAGAGTCATTTTTCTTGCATAAAACCGCTAGGAATGTGTCATCTTTAACTTCCTGTTACTTTTTAAAGATTTTTATTTTTAAGAGCAAATAATTTAAAGACTCTTTCAAAGCAATCTGCTACATAGCAGGCATTTTTTTTCACCCAGTCTTCTATATTTGTCTAACCTACATCTAGTTTTTTTAGTAAGTGTTTTAGAGATGTACCTTTGAGTCTTTCCAAAGCACTCAACTTTTATTGACCCAATGACACTTCTTTTGTATCCATATTTCACTTGCTTACAGCGATATTTCATTAAATTACCTAACTGTGAAAATAAGCACAGTTAGCATAGATAGATTTGGAATAAACAGCGTACTGGTGGGAACAGAATGTGAGCGTGCATCTCGGGGAGGCATGCCTTGATAGTTTCTGTCCGTTCTGAGGTAGCAAGCAGGGTGCGTCATTGCTCCAGCAAGTGAGGATGGCTGTGGAGATTGAGAGAGCTGTAGATACAGCAGGACCATCCCTCCCTTGGGATGGCAGGAGAGTGATGCTCACCAAGGTTAACTGGTGTACAGTGTTCATACTGATGGACTGAGCTGGGATTCACACCCGGGCCTGCTGCCTCCAAGCCTGGTGGTTTGTGTTGCTTTGTTTTCTCCTGTATCCCACAGCTCTTCCCACTGGTGCTTTGCTATAACATGATCCATTCTGGTCAAAACAAACAAACATTGGGTTGAAGAAGGTTTACTTGGATACCAGCCAAGGACAATTTATTAAAAATATGTATAAAATGAATCTCATTTATAATACTACTTTACCTACCCAGAATTGCATGATATATCTTGAAGATAGTGTAGAAGTGAATACGTTCTTAGGCAATTCCAAAATAGATACAGAATTTAAAAGATTCATATATATTTGTACTTCAGTGGCAGGGGTGGCATCTAGATTTAAATACCAACAGAGTTCTGTCTGTCTTTTTAAAGATTATTCAGTGGGTTTCTGAGAACGTCTCTGCCTGCCATTCATTTGACCTCATTCAGGAATTTATAATTGGTAAGTGTGCTGATGTTGCACCTTAAGTTGATACTTGGCCCTTTTGCTTGAGGGAAAGCAGTAAATTGGTAATGAATGCCTCAACCTGTCAAAATGCTGCTTTAGGAACACTTAAAAAAAATACTCCATTGCAGTCAGCAGCTAATTAAATTTCAGTCTCTTGTGGTTTTGTGAGAAGCAGTGGCTGTTCAGAGACTGATGAGATGTGAGATAGGATTTGATTCTATAACCTTATTAGGGATTTTTTTTTTTTTAGTAAAATGTAACTTTTTTAGCCCAGTTTTGTGTTGGCTAGTTCCATATGAAGTGGTATAATGTCATCTGGATAGATACAGTGCTAAATAAAAATTCTTTGAAATTATTCTGATTGCAAAAATGCAGAAACTGAACATTTTAGTCAGTAGATAAAAGCATAATGGTTAACCTTTTGAGGATGAGGGGTAGGCAATGAAAACTTTTGTTGGTTTGTTTGAATTCAGTCAGCTACCTTCTTATTAAACCACATTTTTTTTTTAATCTTTCAAAAATCTACTCAGCTTCTTCATATTGGAGTGTATATCCAGAGACAAGTAACGTGGACAAACTTTTGCCATATTCCTCAGTGCTCACTTGGAATACAGTAAGTTAAAACTTTGTATTCTATATGCAGTTAAAATCAATTCACAGTTACGGGTCAGTTGTAGGATATCCCCATTACAGTAACTAAGGTTGTGATTTCATTTCTGTTTTGACTGATAAGGAACTGAATTGAAATTTTCTGGCAGAAAAGCAATCCCTGCTTATTGGCCAAAAATATTTATATGAAAAACAGTGAAGTTGAAGGAGAAGATACACAGGTATTCTACTACCAGGCAGGACTAAACTTCTACCATGGTATTTTTATAAAATGTTGTTTTAATTTTCTTAGTGACTAGAGTGAATCAAAATATTTATTAGGTTTTTATAAATGAGGACTGGCTGGATCATTGCTGTTATCCTTGGTAGATTAGGACCATCCTGGCTCCTTTCCCCAGCCTCATAAAATCTGTAATAACTCTAGAACTTCAAGATCAGTCAAAGACAACAATCTTACGCATGCTCACTCCATTCAGCCTTTTCTTCCTGTAGGTCTGGACTCCCTCCTTTTAAATTAGGAAGTGGTGAGCTAAAACACTGTTCCTCTTCTCTTTAACTTGGTGCAGTAAACTGAGCTTTGTTGAACTAGCAAGTGAAAACCATGCAGAGACTGCACCTGAGAAAAGTTCTGCCTCTTCTTTCATATTTAGATGTTGGAAATACGTGCTTAGTTTTGAGGCAGAGGTTTGTATCAAAAAGGTATTTCAAAAAATAAATTGAATTTAAGTGACACAGACATAGGCAAATATGTACTAGGATAAATTGTGAAACTTCCCATTTTGTATTTAGTCCATATCTGAATATAGTCCTTAAAAAAGGTGTGTCAAGTGTGTTCGACTCATTTCTAAGTTTTTGGTATGCACAGTGGTAGTGTTTTCCTAAAGGCAACCTGTGCTTTCTCTTTTATGAGTAATAGTTATTAGGTTTTTGTGCCTAACCATAGAATTTGAAGGGTAAGACCTGAGCTGTGTAGGCTCCTGTGTGTGTGTTTAAGCACACGTGCAAATGCACATGCAGATTCTGTGGTAATGAGGCAGGAAGTCTGCAGGTCACACCACCCCAGAGCCAGGAAATGCACATCTCGGCTCCCTCCCCTCGCCGCCCACTGCTGTTGTGACCTGCCTTCAAAGTGTCCGGGAGGCAGGGCCTGGGCCACTGGTTCCCAGGGTTGTGTTAGAACACTGAGAATGTGTTCAGTGAATGTGGGATGAGAGTATCATCCTGAGGACAACGACACCGCAGCACTTACATGCTTTTCAAGACTCTGTGGGGCGGAGGTACCATTGTGGACATACTCAGAGTGACACCAGGAAGTACAATATAAAGAAACCCGCAGTGATAACCTCTGGGTGCTGAGCTTATCTTGGGGTTTACCATGTCGCTTTAAACTTCTTGTGGTTGGAGTAGGTTACTTTAAAGTTCTTTTCTAATCCTGAAATTTTATGAGCCTATGCTTATCTTTAGCACTGATATAAATCATTTGTTTTCCTTTCTCTAATTCACAAATTGTTCTTTTAATTTTTTTTTTCTTTTAGTTTTTCTTTTTGAAGCAGGGGGAGTGAGGAGCAGGGTTCAGTTTCTTTTTTTGTTTGTTTTTGAGACCCAGTCTCTCTCTGTTGCCCTGAGCTAGAGTGCCGTGGCATCATCACAGCTCACAGCAACCTCAAACTCCTGAGGTCAAGTGATCTTCTTGCCTCAGTCTCCCAAGTAGCTGGGACTACAGGCATGTGCCACCACACCTGGCTAATTTTTCTATTTTTAGTAGAGATGGGGGGGGGTCTCATTCTTGCTCAGACTGGTCTCAAACTCCTGAGCTCAAGGGATTCTCCTGCCTTGGCCTTCCAGAGTGCTAGGATCACAGGTGTGAGCCACCATGCCTGGCTTACAAATGTTCTTAATGCTATAACCTTAATAAAAAGTTGCCACAATAGAAAACATTAATTTCATCCTTCCATATGGAGACAACAGATGTGGATTTTTTTTTTCTCTGTTGCCCCAGCTAGAGTGCCGTGGCATCAGCCTAGCTCATGGCAACCTTGAACTCCTGGTCTCAAGCAATCCTACTGCCTCAGCCTCCCGAGTAGCTGGGACTACAGGTGCGCACCACCACACCTAGCTAATTTTTTCTATTTTTGGTAGAAATAGGGTCTCGCTCTTGCTCTAGCTGGTCTTGAGCTCCTGAGCTCAAACCATCCTCCTGCCTCAGCCTCCCTGAGTGCTAGGATTACAGGCATGAGCCGCCACACCCAGCCAAGACTTGGATTTTTAAGATACTAGAAAATATAGTGCTCTTACACACAGATAATCCTCAATTATGCTTTGCAAACAATTATACCTATGATAAGTTGCTATCGTTAAACTTATTTTAAAGTGCTATTGATAACCTAAAATGGTGAAATTTTAATGCTTTTTAAATGTATCTTGCTGAGTAATGCTGAATGAAACACATAATAGATTCTTATCACAGGCTTTCTACTGGTACAGTGCAGAACTCAGTTTCTTGAATGTTCTGAAAATATTTCTCTATCACTGCAATGCCCCTTTTCACAAGAATATTGTATATCCGTTAAATCTATGCCATTTAAATTCTAAACAAATGCCAATTTTTATTTCAACATAACATTTACTTAATTATTTTCTCATATGTCATCTATTTTCTAAAGGAAATAAAGGCTGAATTGACCAGATGAGAGGCTAATTACATAATTAACATGGAAGACACACTTTCCAAAATAACAGTGAATGAAGGGCAATTTTGAAAGTTCTCCTTTTTATTAAATTTCTATTTTAATGCTTACTGATTAACACGGAGTGTTATCAGTTGGACTTCCTGATGTGAATTGCTCACCTTTCAGATCCACCATGGTGATAGCGCTACAGAAGCTCTTTATTGGAAGCTCTTATTTATGAAGTTAAGGTGGATGATGAGGTGCGGGAAAAATTTTCTGCTCAAGTCATGAAAATCCAGTTGTTCCTGGTTGCTTCTAGTGAGCCAGTGACCAGCTATAATACATTTACGTGAAAGGAGGAGGAAGGAGTATAAATAAGAGAACAGTTCCCCTTTACTATTACATTTAGTGCAAAAAAAATTTGCCTCATTTTGTCCTAAATAGAAATGTATAAAAAATACACTATTTGCTCTCTGTTTCTTTGTAGTCTTTTCCTTTCCTTTAGAGACCCTGCCAGCTATTCTGATTGTGACTTTAAAAAATATTTCCCTTCCCAAGACAAGAGATAGGCTATGTCCACTGTTATTTGTATACTCCAAGGTTTATTTAAAGTAGAGATTAGCAAACTGGAAGCTGCCCTCAGTTTCTGTCTGTGCAGAAACACTTCCTGAAAGCTTGAGCTGGTGGGAGTTGATACATGAAGCAGTTGTTTGTATATGTTTTTTCCCCACTGCAGGACATTCCTGGAATAACCCTTGTGACAGAAGACATCGAGTTGCCTCTTATGAAGGTAAGTCCCTTACAGCGAGCAACCAAAGCACAGACACACGTGACCAAAGCTCTGCTGCCCCAAGTATTATGGTGGTTCCAGAAGGGATGGAAAATGGGCAAATGGGCAGGGCAGGGTAGGGGCGGGAGGGGTAGGGCTGGTCCTCTGGGGATTCCTTCCTAAGTGGGTGAGTGGTCAGAGTATGATGTTATGGGTATTCTTAGGCATGCTTTTTGAAGAGGAAAGTTTCCTGGAGATAGAGAATTACAGTGCTCAACCTAAACTGCGTAGAACTAGCACTTGCCACTGTGCCTCAAACCAGTCCATGCTGGAGGAGTTCTTGCAGTTTATCTTTAGAGAGCCTGGTAGCTGTTTTTTACCTCATTTGCATTGCCACTATCTCAAAATATGCCCCCCCCCACACACACACACATAAACATACACACAGAATTTCCCATCTTAAAACCATTAAGTATCCTGGGCTGGGATTACCTAGTTTTCCTTCTGGTTCTAAGAACAGCTCTTCTATTTCTCAACAATGATCTGTATTGGCTCACCATGTGGTCTCAGTCAAGCTCTGAACATTAAGCTGTAGCTATTAGTGTGTCTCTGCAATCTGGTGGTTTCAGAAGCGTTCCAGAGTACAATAGGGAGAATAGGGCGTGGGGGTGAGTAGAAAAGAATATGCATGTAGCTAAAAACTGGAGAGTGTTTTAGCGCCGCTTCCTTGAAGCTGCTTTGTTGCTTTTGGCTTTGCCTCCTGATAATTATAGCTCGGTGTGGACTGGAAAATGTCAGCGTCTGGCAGCAGGCGGCGCAGTGTGCTGCTGCCTTTTATTTATTAAACACGTTGGATTCTTTGGGATCCATGAAGGATTGGCCAGCCCTGGGCAGCTGGGGGAAGGCCGCGGTGTTTGAGATCACAGTGATGGACCAGGGCAAGAGAGGGCAGATTGGAGCTGGCCTACTGGTTCTAGATTTTGATCCTAAGAAGAGTCCCTTATGACAGACTTATGGGCTGTGGTTCTAGGCAGAAGCCTGGGACTGCTATGAAGCCCTACTAATGTAGGAAGATGAAGGGAAAAGAAAGCTTCTATTAAAGTTCAAAAGGTGTATTAAGAGATTCCACCCTTTCATTTCATTGTTTCTGACTTTACCACTAGTCCTAGCAAACCCATGTTTTTAATGGACAAACAACAACCTAGTGAAAAAAAAATTTTCCAAGAACTGTCACCCACAATGCTGTAGTTCTTAATATAGCAACTGTGTATTTCCCCTTGGTCTTTGTCAGAGGTATGCATGTTTTACCTAGTAGTAATTGTGATCTAGAGATATTTGATAAATATTACAAATCATATGTGTTTCTCATGTTGCTACAGGAACTTAATAATTATGATTTCTAATAAGCCCATAGGATTCCACAGAGTTGCTGTGCCTTAATTCACTTAATCATTCTGTTTTGGGACAATCTCTAGCCCTCATTTAAGAAACATTTGCTGTTAAAAATGATGTTGCAGTGAATATTTTTATACATGTAGTTTTTCTTTTGATTTGTTCCCCTAAGGCTAAGTACTCAGAAGTATCACTGGGTGAAAGACTATGACAATTTTTATAGCTTTTAATTTTGTTTTTAAGTTGATATTCAACCAAAGTTGTGATAATTTACACTGTTACAAGGGATTTGTGAGTTTACCACTTTTACTATAACCTTATCTACACTGTATTTTCATTTAAAAAAACTAAGTACAAAAGAGTGATTGGAAGGTCCTCTTGAGCTTTTTACCCCTTGGCTTAATCTAAGAATATGATTTGGCTTTGCTTAGGAACAAACGAGCTTATTTTTGCTTTGTTTTATCTGTGTGTGTGTGTGTGTGTGTGTGTGTAAAATGATTTATGTCTTCCATGTTTTCTTCCCCTTTGACATTCATTCCATCTTTCCTCTCACTTTTTTCTCTTCTCTCTGTATCTTTAGCATTTGGCTCTGCAGTTGTTTCCCGTTAACCATTCCCACACAGGCGAGGGAGCTCTTTGGCAGCTCCACCTGTGTTCGTATGCTAGTGGTTACCTAGGACAAGTTTGAAGCGTTGCAGATCTCTTTGACCCTCTCCACACAGACGTGATCCATCAGGGAAGGCAGAGTATACTGCTGGACTGGCCTTGCGCTCAGGAGAAGATGCTACTGCATTTGGTTTGACCTGCTTCCTCCACCCCCACCCGGGTCACTCAGCATGGAGGCTCTCATCAGTACCCTCTGGTTCACAGCACACCCGGCCCGAGAGCACTCATTCATTTCCCCATCTCTGCTTGCACCTACCACTCACTGTAAGCTGCTGCCTTTGCCTTTAACCTACTTCTCCTACCCCAGGCCCCAGCTTAATTATACCATGATGGACTTGATTGCAGTGGCATATCCCACCCTCTGCTGCTCCCTCCAGGGTCCCAGTTATGGGAATGTTCTTGTCGTGCTTCCCTGGCGGGAGTTGGCTCTGGACACTCAAGACTTGAATTGTAAATTACTTTTAGGGGGTGTGCTTGCTGCCAGACTCTTTCCTTGAGGCCCAAGGGATCTCTATTTACTGTGGCCACACTTCCATTCTCCTTGGTAGACCAGTGCTATGATAAGGAATCAAGAGAGGGAAGGGAAAAAGGAAACTATATATGTACTTTCCTCCTGTGCTCTTTGCAAAATGAGCGTGAAGTGGAGCACTTTATGAGTATTTAATATACTGCTGTGGTCTGAATGTTTGTGTCCCTCTGAAATTCCTGTGGTGAAGTCCTAACCCCCAAGGTGATGGTTTTAAGCGGTAGAACCTTTGGTGATTGAGATTAGGGCCCTTATGGAAGAGGTCCCAGAGAGCTAGCTCACCCCTTCCGCCACAGGAAGTTACAGTGAAAACACGGCTGGCTGTCTGGGAAGCTGGCCCTCCTCAGACATCAAATCTGCCCACACCTTGATTTGAGACATCCCAGTCTGAAGAACTGTGAGAAAAAAATTTCTGTTGTTTATAAGCCACCCAGTTTATGACCGCAGTGGACTATGACATATATGAACACGCGAGGGTGGATAAACCAGTTGAATTAGAAAATCGTTCCCTGAAAGACAGAAGACTTCCTCACTTTATAAATGGTTCCTGAAAGAATTTACAAGAAGTGTATTGAAACAAGGTCCTTGCCTTAAAAGGAATGTCATCAAGAGAGACCTTCCCAAGAATGATTTTATCCCTTTGTAAACTATGAGTGGTTCTACACAAGTGGTGACTTGCATTAAAGGTTAAGAGTGCCCTTGATTTTTTTTATAATAAGAAGAGATGCCATTAAAACTATCCAGCCACAGGAAGCATGTAAGGTTTTTTTAAAAAAAGGAAACAGGCTGGGCAAGGTGGCTCATGCCTGTAATCCTAGCACTTTGGGAGGCCGAGGTGGAGGATTGCTTGAGCCCAGGAGTTGACCAGCCTGAGTAACATATAGAAACCCTGTCTCTACAAAAAATATAGAAAAAAGTTAGCCAGGCATTGTGGCACGTACCTCTAGTTCCAGGTACTTGGGAAGCTGAGGCAGAGGATCCCTGGAGCTCAGGAGTTTGAAGTTGCAGTGAGCTGTGGTGACACCACTGCACTCTAGCAGGGCAACAGAGTGAGACCCTGTCTCTCTCTCACACACACACACACACACACACACACACACACACACACACAATGGAAACAATAAAATATAAAAGAAGGGGCAATGGAGAAATGGGGTACTCCTACCAAAGTCTTTTTAAAGTTAGATTCTTTAGTGTATTTAATCACTTGTTTAGAGATTATTAACTACCTTGGAAAACCAGAAAGAATTAAAGCTCCTTCCTACTTACAGGCACTCACATGTGAGGGTGTTAGTGCAAATGTCTTTCAGTGGCCTGATGCCCCTGAGCAACGGGGAAAAGTAGAGTTGTTACCTAGGTTGTTCTACATTTAGAGACAGTTTATATGTTTCTTCACTTAAAAAGTGTTTTTTAATAAATGTTTTAATTGGACAGAGCGTGAGTGTAGTTAATTGCTTAGTGAAGCACAAAAGACACTTTTTTTCCTTGGCTCCCCCAATACAATCACCATCACTTAAATAAAAGGTTTGTTAGAGAACTGAAGTATACTAGCACAATTACAATATAACTTTTAAAATTAGAATCATTATTTTGATCAAGATATACCATCTCTGGAAGTATCAGTTGGGAAATATTGATTTTTCACAGTTTGTACATATTTTGTGGGACAATCATTAATAGCTATAGTGAGTTCAATTAATATTAGAAACCATAATTTTATGGTGCCACAAAACAGCATTATTTATTATAAACAGACCATGAGGCTGGAGAATTCACGCCTGTCATTTCTGTAGCGATGAGATATCTCCAATCTGCTTCCTAGATTATGACATTTAAGAACAGACTCAGGACCCAAAGATTCCTGTTTTTGTTCCTCTCCCTCTAGCCACTAGGCTATCCTGCACTTACTCATAGTCGTGGTCGAAGACATAATGTTTAATTCTTAAGGTTGAAAGGAAGGAAATATCTTAGTGGCTTTCTCGGGGCATTTGCTAATTTTTGAGATGGAATAGTTGATTTCATTAAAAAAATCCAGTCCATTAAAAATGGCTAATAGAATTACCTAGCTGGGCAAAGAAGGGGAAATTTTTGCTAGATATTGAGGAAGGAGGAGAAGGTCCATTTATATTCAGGAGACTTTGAACTTGCAGCACTCATTTCCCTCAGTGGGCAGCGGCAGGAGTTTTCGTCACTTGTCCTGTGTGTGGATGTTCCTGTTTGGAGCATCTTAGTACAGTGCCTTGCTAGCTTTAAGTACAAGTAGACATTTTCTATTTTATTCTGCCTATGATAGAGGAGGTGGGTCGCTGTGTTTCTGGGGGCTGTAAGTAAAAGCTGATACTGAGAATGGGATCTACTGAAGAGCCAAACTGGAGTGATACGATTCTTTATCTCTGCTGGTTAAGTCCTGGCACGCAGAGTGAAGTGTGCTCTCTGAATTGGCCTCCCCTCCGGTATGAAGATGCTGGTTAATCAGCAGAAGTAGGACGAAAGCCAGAAGGCCTTTTAGAAATGAAAGGCAGATGTTTGTTTTCTGGCAGCAACTTGCAGATGAGCCAGTACCACAGGGCTTTCTGTTTGTTTGTTTGTTTGTTTTTGGATCAACTGGCAATCTAAATCATAAATGGGAAACAGTCCCTTGGTGTGTAACCCGTTGATCCTTTTTGTTCAATTAATAGTTGTGATGGGCTGCATTTGGCAATTATTTCATGTCTTCCTAAGAAACAGAATGAGATTATTTCTGAAGAAGAGACTTGGAATAATTTTCCTTCTTTCAAAATCAAAATTTAAAACTCTCGTTTGTGCAGGAAAATGCTCCTGGGTCATTCCTTGAGGATTTGATTATTTCTAACACCAGAGTCTCCCGGAAGTAGCTAAATTCATGAGTGTTTTTCTTATAAAGCATTTTTATGCATTATTTTCTTAACACATTATGAGCTCTTTTCAAGTAGCTGGTGATGTGCTTCTTGGGCTGCTGTGGCCTTCACCGTGGTGCTGGTGTTCCTGATGCAGACGGCACTCGGCATTCACCTGGCTGGGTGAGTGCCAGTTGACTGCCATGGAGTGCTTGTCTGTGCTACCAGGCTCATCCTTGAGCCTCGGTGGCGAGATGGTGTGCCTTGGCTGTTAGGATGTGATCGTTCAAATTCCTACTCTGCCCTCCCCTCCATGCTTGCTAGGTTACAACATCTAACATGTTATGTTGGAGCTACTCTTATTCTCTGGGTGAATGAGCATGTTGCTGTTAACTTGGCATTTAGGATTCCTCAAAGATTGGCTCCAAGCTCATCTTTGACTGTATCTCCTGTTTTTAAACCACACAATCACAAGTATATCAGACAACTGGTTCTTTATCAGCCTCTAAGCTGGAGGGATAGGTAGAGTAACATGTTTGAGGGTGGGAGGGTGACTGGGATTATGCAGACATGCTCAAGCAGTGTTCTCAGTCCTGGCGGAACATTAGGATCACCTGGGGCACCTGTAAAACTCCTGAGGGCTCCTCAGGTCACACCCCAAACCGATGAACTTGCTTGGGGGTGGGACCCAGGTGGTTCCAATGGGCAGCAGAGGCTGGGAGCCACACGAGAGAGGCTGCTATCTTCACTGCAGAGAATGAAGTGCTGTTGTCTGTCTGCTCTCTGTTTGCCTCTGATCTAAACCCAGAGCCTGTGTCCTGGCCTCTCAGTCTTTGCTCACATCCCAAGGGGCCCACCTGGAATGTCCTCTCCTTATCCTTCACTTACTCAGATCCATTTCCATCCCCTGTGCTGTGTCAATTTCCCAGGCTTCCAAATAGACCTTCCAAATAGACCCAATTTACAGTGATTTCTGTGAATTTTCATAACTTAAAAAAAATTCATCAATTATCTAGTCGATACCAAATAGTGACGTAAACATTTAATTGTTTTCTTCTGATACTCTCTTAAATATTATAGATGGTATTATCATAAGCCAGTGGCCTCCTTGAAAGACATACAAATCCATGTGAAAATATTTTGGGGACTTTTGCCTAACAATATTTCTTACTTAAATATAAATTTTTCTTTTTGTTTTAAATTTAGATCCTCTTCCTTCTAACTCTGTGGTTTTTAAACTATTTTAGGCTATGAATTTCTTTGCAAGACCAATCTGATGTAAGACCATCTCCCCAGAAAAATGCGTATACAAACACAGGCTCCGTTTACCATGCAGTCAGAGGTCGCTCCAGCCCCTCCACAGCCTGTCCATAAGCCTGTGGAGGGCTCTGTTTATCTGTCTATTCTTGGCTGACACATGGATAATGCTAATGAGTCTGATTATTCCACAATGTATACATGTATCAAAACATCATATTGTAACCCATAGAAATATACATTTATTTGTCAATTAAAAAGAAAACTAAAAAGGAACCCTCCTCCCCAAAAGGTAATGAGGAAAGGGATTTTTTTTTTTTTTTTTTTTTTTTTAATTTGAGACAGAGTCTCGCTTTGTTGCCCAGGCTAGAGTGAGTGCTGTGGCATCAGCCTAGCTCGCAGCAACCTCAAACTCCTGGGCTCAAGCAATCCTTCTGCCTCAGCCTCCCGAGTAGCTGGGACTACAGGCATGCACCACCATGCCCGGCTAATTTTTGCTATATATATTAGTTGGCCAATTAATTTCTTTCTATTTATAGTAGAGACAGGGTCTCGCTCTTGCTCAGGCTGGTTTCGAACTCCTGACCTCGAGTAATTCACCTGCCTTGGCCTCCCAGAGAGCTAGGATTACAGGCGTGAGCCATTGCGCCTGGCCAGGAAAGGGATTTTTAAATAGAGCGAGAAGGAGGTACGAGTGGGGTCTCCTAACGTCAGGACGGGGCTTGAGGGGAGGAGGCCAGAAGACAGGTAGAGGGCACCTGGGTTTCTCCCCTCCCATATGCTGGGCAAGGTCCCTGTGAACTGCATCACGGCACTCCTGTGGCAAAGCAGGCAGTGTTAATAGCTTAGTTGGCCACTAGATGTCCCCACAAAACACCAATTCGTTTTCTGGCTTTTGGCTCTAGTGTGCTGGGACCCAGATTAAGACAGCAGAAAGCCTAGTGACTTCCGGTCAGGGACCTAATGCTGCCAGATGTCTGCAGGGTTTGTTTGTTTGTTTATTTTTTTCAGTACAAAGGAGGGTGGATAAAGGTATATTCATCATAAATGAACAGGAAGGGAAAGAAAGGTGAGCAAGGTAGATCAAGTCAACAGCGAGACCTGGCTGCAGTGTTTGTTTTTTATCTCGCCTAGAAGGGAGACTTTCTTGGAAAGAGTTTTTCTGTCTCTGGGAGAAGGGATTTTGGCTGGATGGGCATTTCAGGCTTTGAAAACAGCAAGTGTTAATGTTATCATGTAACTCACTTTACTGATACTCCAAAATCCATTTCAAACCAATTGTGACTGTCCTTTGACTAAAAATGTGAATGATGTGCTGTTATTCAACATTAGATCATCTTTTTTTATTGCTGTGTGTTTTGTTTTCTTATTTTCTTGTAATTCAGCCAGGTCTGTCACCATAGCAGGCAATAGCTCACGTAGTTTTATAGCCACACATTGCACCCCTGGTCCCAGTCAAATCTTTTATAAATGCACATATTTTGGCAAGAAAGTATGTATCATAAACCAGTCTTCACTGGCTTAAAAACGATCTGTGTCAGTGTATCCTTCAACATTAACTGTATTAACATTGCATTTTTTTTTATTTAAAAATGAATATGAGGGATGCATTCTTGCTTCAGGGTAGTACAGTTATATCAATAAATCAAAGACCTAGATAGAATGCCAACAAATTCTGTTTTGGAGTATTGACAACTGAATGTAAAAGTAGTTCATCTTTTTTGATTCCTAGGTTTTGAAAGATATCTTTGGAATTAAATAAGCTTAGCAGGAAAGTAAACCTAGTCCACTTGCTCCAAATGTTATGAACATTCTCTGAGTGAACATGGCACCATTGACACAACCTAAGTCATACAAATGGGTCCCTAGGGAATGACTTGATGTGTTTAATATAGGCTTCCCTGCTAAGCCTTAACCAGGGAAGTCCTATGGGCTTTGGGAAATGGGCAGCAGTTCTGTGCTATAAAAAGAGGACAGAAAATGAAGTGGGAAGGCAAGATTCTTCCTATCAGGAGGAGAATGCCATTCTTCATGGGAAATATTCACTGAGAAAAGCTGCCATGTGGGAGCTGGGGAAATAAGACCAGCGTGATACTTGCTGGGTACCTGGGTACAGGGCCTGCTTCTTAAGGTTGCTCATGTTTCTGTCTCCTACAGGTACACACCTTTAAGGGCTACTGGGAAAAACTGAACTCCAACCTAGAATATGTTAAGTACACCAAGCCACACTTGCACTACAACAACAGCGTGGTCAGGAGAGAATGGCACAACCTGATTTCCGAAGAGGTACGTGTGGGTCAGTGAGAACAAAGCAAGCAGCCAAAGAGTGCTGGATTAGGTGCAGGGGATGCCTTTAAACCGTGAGACTGGCTGACGTCTGCAGTACCCTTCCCAACGGCTGGGCACTTTGACGTTGTCGTTTGCAGACAGGTGCTCCTATGATCTCTGTTCTTCAGTTCTCCTGAAATGCAGGAAGGTTAAAGGATGCACAGCACATTCAGAGTAGAAGTACAATTAACATTCATGGCTTGGATCTGTTCTCAGGTTACTTGTATAGTTAAAAATTGATTTACTAAATTAAAAAATCTAGGTGTTCCCAAACTAGTGGTTGCTGGGGGTAGGGGTAGTTGGGACGAGGAGAGTGGATGTAACTGACTATATGGGCGTGGCACAAGGAGATCTTTAGGGTGATGGAATAGTTCTGTATCTTGAATGTACATGAATCTGTATATGTGATGAAATGACATAGAACTACACACACATTGTGCCAATATCACTTTCCTGATTTTGATATTGTGTCATAGTCATCTGAGATATAAGCAGTGGGGGAGACTGGGCGAAAGGTACTTGAGATCTCTGTAGAATTGTTGTATATACTATGTTTTCCCGAAAATAAGACAGGGTCTTATATTTATTTTTCCTCAAGAAGACACCCTAGGGCTTATTTTCAGGGGATGTATTATTTTCCCCTCAAAGCCTGAGCTTGCAGCACGCACAGGATAGCCGGGACCTGATGGGGAGCCGACCTTGTTAGTGGGGTTTTCTGGTCACCTCTGGGATAGCAGCTGTCACGATGGGGCACATGAGAAGGGCTGCTCGTCGTCTTTACCACTCTGCGATGAAATGCATGGGTTGTGCAGATATGCTGCGTAGCCACGCCCATCACTAGGTCTTATTTTCGGGGTAAGGCTTCTACCGCACAAATGTTTAGAAATCCTGTTAGGGCTTATTTTATGGGTAGGTCTTATTTTCGGGGAAACAGGTAGTTGAGTGTTGTATATAACATATAGTTGACTTGTAACTTCCTATGAATCTGCAATTCTTTCAGATAAAATGTTTCTTAAAATTTTTTTTAAAAATCTAGGTGTTCTGATTACCTGGAAAGTATATTTCTTCTTTATGAAGTTATAACCTATATTGCATTATGTCCTTGATGTGAAAAAATTCATTCACAAAACCTTCCCCTTCCATACTCCTGACATGTTCTCACTCGTAGAAAACAGGAAAAAGAAGGTCCACTGCATATGTGAGGAATATTCTTGATGATGCAATAAAGTAAGTAAAATTAAAGGTTATTGTGTCTGTAAGATAGTTAACTTTTATAGTTACCTTGGTGGTGACCTTTCATGGAAGTAACTTGTTTTTGTTGGATATCCTCAGCAAAATGATACCGTCAGCTTCGTGAATGCAGGCACATGGGCTCTATTCTGGAGCTTGGTGCTGGAAATTCTAGAGGGAAAAGCTTATATGTTAAACCTCAAAGACTTGCAATCTGGGGATGGATGATTTACAATGTATAAGTGGTAAAGAAAGTTCTTTATTAAGTGAGCTTCTTGGGAAGGGCAGACAATAGGTTGATTTATTTATTTATTTATTTTATAGTATTAGTGGGCTGGTGAGCTTGCTCTTATTTTGAAAGCATATTTTCTGGATAGATGAGTCATCTCAGAGTGCTGAAAGTATAGGCCCCATTCCAACCTCTGTTCTGTTTCTGTCCCCATTATTCCCAATAACTGAGAGCTGCAATTGTTCTAAATTATTGCTGTTGTTGGCACTAAAGGGTTTTGAAATTATGTAATTGCCTAATGTGGTTTTTGCTACATTGACTAAAGTTTTTGAGGTTTTCAGCAGCCTGAGAACAGTTTGTGTGGTGGTTTTATGGGTTTTCAAAGGAGGGTATCTTTGTATGGTGCTGTGGCTTTAAATTTTTTTAAAAAATAAATGCTTTCTGTGTGACTAACATGGCTAATTTCTTTGTAGGGTGATTTCTAACCTAGAAGCGAGGAATTTGGGTAAGAAAAGACCTGTAATGAAGCTTTCTGGATTTCAGTCAGTGTGGCCTTTGTAACACTGTCCTCCTTACCACTGTGGGTTGGCAGGAAAACCACTTCCAGTAGTGTCAGGGAGGCAGAGCCTTTAGCATCTTCCTGTTAGAGTGGCCACATGCTCTTTCCATGTCTGTCTGGATGCTAGGACCTTCAGGGACCGCCGCTGAATGTGCTTTTGCTAAAGGAGTCCTTGGGTGTTTGTCCTCTGGTTTTCATTATTTCTTATCACATACTTGATCTAACTAATGTCCCGCTGGCTGTACCCACAGGAATCACTTTGGCAATTCCTTTGGCTTGGTGCTGCTTTCTCTCCAGCTGTCTGACCATACAGGGTCTTTGACTTATACACCCTTCATTTTGAAAACTTGGGCACACACTGAGCTACGTCCTAGGGGTACAAAGATGAGGAGCCTTCAGGTAAACAGTGTGGTTTTTTTGGAAAGAGCCATGGGCTCAGGAGCCAAACAAAACTGGACTTAAATTCCAAGGCTGCCACGTGCTAACCATGTGCTCTTGGGCAAGTCATTTGTGCTAGGTAACTCCTGGGTGCTAGGTCAGGGGTGTGGGGATGGTTGAAGGAGGGAGGGAGGTTGGAAGAGGCTTCCCAGAAGGGTGACATCTGAAGTAAGTCTTTACAAACAAGGGGGACTTAGCCAGGTGAAATGGGGGAGGGGAATGCCGAGGACATTCCAGTACAAGCATTTTCATAGTTGTCACAGGAACATTTTTATACCTCATGAAGTTCAGCCTTCACCCAATGTGCTGCTGTTGTATATCCCACTCCTATTTTATGGGCTTGGATGTTTTAGGTATGTGTTGGGTAACCCTAATGGAAATTATTTTATGCGGCGCGTTGGGTACCCTGCGGCTGTGCACATAGCCCAGTGAACTGTGATGGTGACATGTCGTCCAGCCCAGGCTGACAGAGGCTGGGCTCACCGAATAGCCAGGGGATGGGGGACCTGCTTCCACCTGTGTTACCAGGCCATCCATCCTGAAGCCAGGTCCTGCCCTGCCAGGCAGGTGTGTGACGTGTGTGATTCAGGGTCCCCCTCCTTGCATTGCCAGGGGTCTGTCGTGTTCTCCACTCCCACCCTGCTTGGAGAGCTGCTCCTGCTCCGCGTGTGCGTCAGGGCTGTTTGCAGCCGGTCACTAGTCATGCTGTCACTTCAGGAAACTCTTCCCCTTCCTTTCACATGCTTTGCTTGTGTGAGTTTCCCGTGAAGAATGCCATCACTACCTGAAACGGGACATTCTGTGAAATTCAGGGCTGTTGGGCTCACGTTTTGAATCGTTTTGTTATTCATGAGGGTTGTATAGGATCCAGGTAGGATGCATGCCTCGGGGTCAAGAGGTATCTGTGCCTTCTGGAAGCAGTTGTTGGCCCACTGAGCAGGGCAGTTCTGCCCTCTTGCTTGGTGCTGGGCCTCGGGTTTTGGGAGATGGAGAACAGAGCACGAGGGTGAGGTCAGAGGAGTGGCAGGGCAGATCTTCCATGACCTGTTTGCCTGCCCCTCTGGTCTCGCTAGCGCAGTGCCAATCATGGTGGAGAAAGTGCCGTTTGATTTAACCTTACACATCACCTTTCCATCTTGTTCCAGCCACTTTTTTAGTCTGATAACTTGTGCCAATTAGTATTATTTGCCACAGTAATTGATTGGTCCCCTCAGCTCAATTACTCCCAAAGTCACTGAACTACAGGGGTCACACAATCCTTCCACTGAGCCCTGTCCCTCGGTTTATGCCCCCTTAGGGTTAAGAGAGGGCTCACTCACTTCCCTCTGTCGCCAGTGGAGCAGAGGTTCTTCGTCAGTGGTGAGTTTTAGCGTTGAAGAAAAATCAAAGCTAGAGTCTATTGCTGTTGGGGAATGTGTTCCTTGTTTTCCTCCTCTCTCCGTCTTCCCCTCTGTCTGTCTCTCAGAGCTTTCCGTGTACCGCCCAAGTGACAGGGTCAGCTGTGGGGCCAGGTCACCCTCAGCTAATGAAAACTATTCATCCTGTCAGGGAAGTGTTATGTCTTCCCAATGAGAGAGAGATCCAGACTGCTGCTGCTTCCTTCTAACCCATTTCCTGAAAACTATCAGGGTGTGACTGTTGCTCTGTTTAATTTCAGAGCCACGATTAACGCCCCTCTTGCAGGAGGAAGACAAGCACCAGAGGCTGCTGATGGGGCTGGTGAGTGGTTTGTGGGCTCCTTGGCTGCCAGCAAACAAGGGGCCCCACGAAGAGGGGGAGAGGGCTAGATTGTACTTCCCATTATGATTTCATTCTTCATTCATTCCTTCAACAAATAGCTGTTGCCAGTCACTGTAGACCCCGTGTGTCCAGTGGTAAGAAACACACATGACCTCTGCCCTCTTGGAATACATAGATGAGTGTGGGAGCCGCACGTTTATCAGTCACACCAATAAACATATAGTAACAAACCATGATAAGAAATGTATTGTGGTGAGAATTTTAAAAAGGAAAGAGCAATGTCTTTGTGGCATTTTGTATTTGGAGTTTGAAATACAACAGAATAAAGAATCACATTTCTCAAGAAGTCCTATCACTAGCATCACCAAAGAAACATAAAGCAAAAATATTAAAGACCAGAATTGGTAAATCCCAAATATTTTATATATTTTTAATACTATGTGGGGTTAAGAATGGGACAATCTATTACCATAGATATGGCAAGTTTAACAATATGAGAGAAATGTATGTAAATCTATATTACTACCCTTAAAAATTCTAGTTAAACAGTTTCTTTGCAAATAGAAATTACCAAACTTGATCCAAGAAGAAACAGAAAAGCTAAAAGCACAATAACCATAAAATAATTTGAAAAAATGTTAAAGATTATTTCCAAAGATTATTTCCAAAGGCCCTGTTATTTAATGAGTTATTTGAAACTTAAGGGCCAGAATCAGTCCCATGCTGTGTAAAGTATTTTTTGAAATAAGATAGAAAGCTTCTCAATCACTTTAAAAAGCCATCATACCCTTAAAACCAAAATGTGACAACGATCACTTTTTTCTATGAATATAGATATCAGGAGCCTAATTAAAATACTTTCCAGTGGTCTCTTGAAAATACAACATGGCCAAATCGGATTTTTTCCAGGAAGGCGCTTAATATTAATGTTAGGAAATATATTAATGTAATTCATCATATTACAAGAGCAAAGAAAAACAGATAATTCAAGTATAGTACTTTCATAAGTACTATAAAAACAGATAATCTCTAGCACTCTATAGGTGCTAAAAGATGATAAAAGTCAAATTCCACTCTTGGAATATACTAACTCAGTAAGACAAAGAATAGTCTAATACTAATAGTCAACCTCCTTTCTAATGGAATGCTAGAGACATTCTTGTTAAAATCAGAAGTTAAGGATCTTTGCTATTTTCACTATAATTTTTTGTTCTGAAAATTCTAGCCAATACACTAATAAAGTAAAAAAAATATATACTATGTCTAATGCAACAAACAGGATAATCAACTGGGAAAATGGAAAACAATAAAGAGCAAGATAGTAAGCTAGTGATTTCCATACAAGTAATTTCTTTTTTTAATTAGGATTAACCAGTTAGAAAAGATAATGAAAAACAATATTCCATTTCCAATCCTTAGTGTCTAGTTCAATAAAATTACAACTACGAAGCCAATGAAACTTCTCTTACAATTGACTTAAGTAATTCACTTGACAAAGAGGAATGGAAGTGGTATCATCAGATATCTGAATGTGTTATTGATCTGCAATAATAGAAACAATCGGTGTGCATACACAAATAGTGAATAGATTCTAGTTTAAATTAGAATCTTTAGTGTATAATAAATGAGGTATTTAAAAATCAACATGGGAAGAAAGACTTTTTAAAATCTATTGGTCAGTGGCTAATTTTTTGGAAAAGAAAATTAGTTATATTCCTCCTATTTCAAATACCACCATTTATACCATAAAGCAACAGAAATATCCGATAGAGGAGTTTAATATAAAAATTGAACTGTGTGAAAGAATTTAAATAAGCAGGTAGTTCATATTGAAATAGAGAAGGACTTTAAAATATATTATTGAATATAGATAGGGGAAGATAGATGTGATAGAATGAAACTTAAAACAGAAACAAAAAAACAGGCAAACAATAAATCTGGGGAAAAATTGCAACTTATGTGACAAATGATTAGCATTTAGTATATAAATTGTATAAGTAAGAAAACAATACACTGGAAGGGAAATGGACAAAGTCTCTGACCAATGAATTTTCAAAAATAAATGGTCAGAACCGCCACTGCCAATGTTCAGTATTGCTGTGATCAAATGACAAATAGCACAAGTGGGCTTTTGGTTTTGGTTTTTTGCTAATCAAATTGGCAAAGATTTAAAAATTATGCTAGCAAAGTTCAAGGTATCCCAAGAGAGTTGGGATAACCTCATGAATTTTCAACCACTTGAAAATTAGTATAACCACAGTACAAGACATTTTGACAGTGTCTTACAAACGTTAAATATGTGATCCAACAAATTCCATTTCTAGGAATTTAGTCTGTCAAAATAATTAACAATTTAGCAAACAACTTTTTTATGAGGATTTTTTGTTATTATTTTATTATTTTATTGTTATTATTTACAGTAGTAAAATAAATATCCCATATGTATAAGAAGGAAAAAAGTAATTCAAGTATAGTACTTTCATAAAATTATATACTGTGCAGCCATGAAAACTAGTATGGTAAAGAATTTTGGGTGGCATAAGGAAAGTATTATGTGAAAAAACCAATTACAAAATATTAGAATGGGTGTGCACACCAGGAAAAAATGAAAAATAACCACCCAAAATGTTAATATAGATGATAGGATTATGAGTAATTTTAATTTTCATTTTTTATGGTTATTGCAGAAAAATGAGAAGCACAAAAAATATGTACTATTTGTTAAACAGAAGAAAAATTTAAATTTTTAAAAGCCAAGTTAATTAGCAAATGCAGGAGACTGAATTGAAATAAGATACGGGTGCGTCTTGGCCCCGAGGGCCATGGGCCAGGTTTTACTCAGGGTGTTATATATGTGAATCTCCTGAATTATTAAATAGAAGATGTGTGCATGTATGATGTCCATTGTACAGTTCCCATGGGCTGTTTATTGGCGCAGTGATCTCTCTGGCCAGGAGGGCCTTTTGCTGAGCAGAGCATCTAGGCAATAAAGGAGAAGGAAGAAGGAGAGAGAAAAGGGGGGTAGGGCAGCCCGGGAATGCCGGCCCCTGACTGGGGAGGCCCAAAGATGATCAAAATGGAGCAGGTGGGGGGAGGGAGGAAAGGGCATTTATTGAAACCTTAAAATCTGTATCCCCATAATATGCCGAAATAAAAAAAACAAAAACAAATAATTCAGAGGGGCCAGAATGATTATTTCATTACCTTTGCACATCAAGGGGCTGTGTGGAGTGTCTCTCTCTGGATGTTGTGCAGAGGAAGTCACCTGATGCATTTCCTCTTTACTCCTGCGCATGTTAGCACAGTCATTCCATGTGCAGAGTTGTTCCTGATAATTCCCCACGGTGGTAGATTTCAGTCCTTGGACAGATCCCAAAGCCTTTGACTTCTAAATCAGTGATTTCCGCTGGCTGCTTTGGAGGATTCTTATCAGGGCCTAAGGCCTGACTGTCAGTTGCTCACCAGGCTTTGGGTAAATCATAAGCACTTCCCCTTGAGGAAAATGCTGGGGGCTTCTGATTAATGCTCACCCAGAGAAATATTGAGAGTTATATGTTTCTGCTGGTCGGATCTTCAGATCTAATATTTTTCATATTGATAAGGAATGTTAATAAATGGATCTAATTCGAACCCGTTGCAGGTGTGAGTGGGTAGGTTGTGACTTCCGCATATCCTGTTTTCAGATGGTGTCTGAGCTACGAGACCATCTTTTGAGACACCTACAGGGTGTAGAAAAGAAGAAAATTGAACAGATGGTTCTGGACTACGTTTCAAAGCTGGTTGGTTTTGCTTTTTATTCTCTGTGTGTGTGTGTGTGTGTACACACACACACACACACACACACACACACACACACACAAAATTCTCAGGATGTGTTTCAGTGAACCCATTTGTGTGTTGTTCAAATTAGATTTTTGGAGATCTCCTGTTCTTAAACCAGTATATTTGGTGCTATTGACTGAGGCAAGAGAAACAGGAACCTTAAACAAAGAGAACTTAGTTTTGAAAGTGACTTATTGCCCTCCTTTCAAATAGTAATTATACACTCATGGAAACATAGGACAATGAATTTAGTGCGGTTGCCAAATGTTGACGTCTCATCTTGGCAACTCTTAGATCCTTATTAAACAGTAAGTAAGGATTTCTGTACATGGAGGCTTATGCAGACATGAGAGAACTTGAACTTCAATTCTTAATTAGTTCCAATAGCCCAACTAGGCCAGAGTCTGGCTCAATTCTATAAATACAACCACATTAGAGTCTACTGATGAGATTGGCAGTTCATTACCTGGTGCCCAGTCATTCAAATTGTGTGATCCATATTAATAACACCACTCTATAAGTAGGTAGAAATTGCGTGACTAGGTTGAATTTTAAGGCTGTCTTGAAAAGACATATGCTTCAAAAAGTGTATGCTTGGAATCTAGAAATAATGTTTGACACACTTAAAAAAAACTATTGCACAGAGAAAGAACACTCCATTATTCCTCCAAGTTTGCCCAAGACCAGTGTGCAGATGAGCCAGTGGATGAACATATATTTTTGCATTAAATTCTGGATGATTACATTTGTCAGATATAACCATGATTTAATCTCTTCATGTTTAATTTTAAAATTTTCTGCCTTTATTGCAGTCATTGGTGTCTTTTTAAAATAATATATTTGAATTTCTATAGTAAGGGTTGAGTGTTATAGTTTTTAATATATTAGGAGAGGTTGGCATTTTCACATACAAATATTTATAGTCAGGACATTGAATCTTTCTTAAATCTCCTTCTCAGTAGAACTGTGCCAAGGAGCTCACTTTGTGAATGTGTTGATATTAACTTGCTTTCTGTGTGTGTTTTAACTCATAACACATTATTTAACACATCACCTCTCTTTCTGTTGACTTTAAATCTCACCTTCCAAAGTGTTAAGAAGGGTTTTCATTCAAGCATTGTTTTTCTCCATGGTTTTAGTTAATCGTGTAAAAGTTTTAACGCTAGGTTGTGTTAACAAGCTCTAGAACCACTAGGCCCAGAAATAATACATGTGTCATCTCAGAAAACTCAATGTCCCTGACTTTCTGACTCCAGACAAATCTCTCTGTCCCTGCCTGGCAGCAACCATCCAAGCCGCCTACTTACTCCCCTGGAAGAAGGGTGGCTGTGTAGCCTTTCCAGAACAAACCCAAGGGAGTTGCTGTAGAACCTTATTACACTGACTACGTGTTTACTTACTTGATTTCAGCCAAAGAGAAAATGAGAATCTGTGTCATTGAGGATATACAGTGTTTGCCTCTGAGTCTATCGAGATCCTTTCTGCTTTCCTCGTTCTTATCCACGGCTGATAACACTCTGTGGAGACTGCTGTACTACCGATAAACTTGTTGCAGCGTAGAATGGGTTTCTTGATAGAGTGCTAGGGCAAAGAAGGTGGTCTACTCTGGTTGTTTATGATCATGGCTTTTATTGATCACTATGTTCCAGTCAGTGTGCCAACTAAGTCTTACAACAAACCTATTAAGTACTTCCCCTTCATTTTATAGACGAGGGCCCTGAGATTTGGAGGGAATTTAGGTAACTTGCCTAGGCTTACGCAAACAGTAAAATAATAGACTGTGGACTTGATTCCAGTCTTACTCCATGCTCGTGACCTCCATTCTGTTCTGCCTTCTTTCTTCTGACTGTCAGCTCTTGGCCCTTGCGGTGTAACGGGCCTGGAGCAAGCCCGGTGGCACTTGACCTTCACTGATGGATGAGGGCTGTGAGAGTGAGTGGCGGGGCCAGTGAGCCAGGCCAGGAAGCTCAGCGGGGGCACTGCGGCACAGACAGAGGGTGCTCTGTTAGACTCTGGTGTGTTCAGTCTTTCCTTTTTGGATTCCAGTGCCTCAGAATTGACCTCACGAGGGCTGGTTGTGTGTCTGGGCACAGCCTGAATGCCAGCTGCCCTGAATGTGCTTGTCAGAGTTGCTGGGGCCTTGAGGGGAAGGATACTCTCAGTGGTTAATGCACTATCTTTACCCTCTAGCTGGATCTCATTTGCCGCATACTGGAAACCATTTGGAGGAAACATAATCTTCATTCCTCGGTTCTCCACTTGTACGCAAGTATTTCTCACTCTTTTATCATGGTGCACTCAGAGCCAAAAAACTGACTGTCGCCTGTTTTAGCAAAGCTCTTCCGAAACTTACTAGTTCAAAGCAATTCCCAGCAGCCCCAGCACCGTCTACCTTAGTTGTGTGCTCAGCATCTAAAGTTATGCCCTGTCACTTCTCCCATCCTCTTCCCTTGGCATGTGGATGAGGAGGAAGGGGGGGGGGACACATGAGCAGTACTGCCAAGAAGGGGATTTTAAGTTACTATACTTTGTAATTTGTGTGCCTGCCATCTGGGTAGATTCGAGGCATTAGGCAGATGGGCACTGTTATATTTACAAGGCTTTCTACAGAGCATACGTTTCACGATTAGCATGAGTCCCTCCATACATGATACTCAGAGCCACCACTTAAGACAAATGGGGTGCTGGAGGTGAGCTCCTCGGTTGACATGCTGCTTTGTCATTTTTACTCAGCAAGGGGCATGGCGGTGCTGCTGAATTTGCCGTCTTTCACGTCATGACCAGGATTTTGGAAGCTACTGACAGTTTGTTTTTACCTCTGCCTCCTGGTAAGTCTTGGCTCTTTTATCCTTTGGTGTAATACATTTGTTCTTTCTTCTTCCCATGGGCTCCAAACTTTGGCATTTTGAGTTTAACGATGAGACCTGTGTGTGAGAAATCGTGTGTCTGGTGTCACCATGAGAGAGGAGCCCTAAAGTTGGTCTCTGCTGACCAGAGCTCCCCTGGCAACTAAACTGTGCTGTAGCTTGGGACTGACTGTAGACAGGCCAGGCTGGGCCCTATACAACTTTCTAGGATAATTTGAACCAGTAGAACTGTTGCAGGGAGCTCTTTTTCTGATGTCTCCAGGCCTAATTTATCTGACCAAGAAGTCTGACAGTTAACACTCAGAAGGAAGTAGGTTTGGCTTGGTGCCAAGAATTGAAGTGATTCTTATGTGCTTGGAAGCTAACACTTTCCCTTAGGATTTTGAAATAGGACCAAATCAGGCCTCAAAATACCCTTGTGACATGTGTATGTAGTCGTTCATTTAATTGGTCATTTGTTCATTCAGTTAACAAATATTGGTTTAGCAACTATTACATGCCAGCTAATGTGCTAGAAATTAGAGCTGTTACAAAGATTAATAAGGCTCTAATTAGGAAGATGTGCATATTAAGTCAGTATCCATTATAAGAAATAAGATCCTGTTATAAACTATCTGCCTTGTGTTCATTATATATACTTTTTTTATTGTATAGTTATTGTGTAAGAACACTTAACATAATATCTACCCTCTTGACAAACTTTTCAGTGCACAATACAGTATTGTTAACTATAGGCACAGTGTTGACTAGCAGATCTCTAGGACTTATTCATTGTACATAGCTGAAACTTTATACATATTGAACACCAATTCCCCCTTTCCCTCTTGCCAGCCCCTGGAAACCACCTTATGCTCTCTGTTTCTGTGAGTTTGACTATTGTAGATACTTCATGTAAGTGGAATCATGGGATATTTGTCCTTTGTGAATGGTTTATTTCACCTAGTGTAACGTCCTCCATGTTCATCTGTGTTGTCATGTATGGGAGGATTTCTTTTAAGCCTGAATAATATTCCATTGTATATATATTCTTTTTAGGGGGGAGTGAGAAAGGAGGTTCAATTTTTTTCTTAATGAGACAGAGTCTCACTCAGTTGCCCTGGGTAGAGTGCAGTGATATCATCGCAGCTCACTGCTGCCTCCAAATCCTGTGCTCAGGTGATCCTCCTGCCTCAGCCTCCTGAGTAGCTGGGACTACAGACACATGCCATGACACCCAGCTAATTTTTCCATTTTTAGTAGAGATAGGGTCTCACTGTTGCTCAGGCTGCTCTCAAACTCCTCAGCTCAAGTGATCTTCCCACCTCTACCTCCCAGAGTGCTACCATTACAGGCATGAGCTGCCATGCCAGGCCCCATTGTATGTATATTCTACATTTTTATCCATTTATCTGTCAATGTACATTTTGGGTTATTTCCATATCTTGGCTATTGTGAATAATGCTGTAATGAACACGAGGAGTGTATGTATCTCTGCAAACTCCTGATTTTAATTCTTATGGATATATAACCCGAAATGAGATTACTGGATCATATGTTAATTCTACTTTTAATTTTTTAAGGAACTTCTATACTGTTTTCCACAGTGGCTGTACCACTTTACATTCCCACCAATAGTGTATAGGGGTTCTAATTTTTCCACATTCTTGCCAACACTTATATTTTGTGTTTTTGGTAATAGCTACGCTGAGAAGTGTGAGGTGATATCTCTTTGTGGTTTTGATGAGTGATGTTGAGCTTCTTTTCATATAATTTTTGGCCATTTGTATGTCATCTTTTGAGAAATGTCTATTCAAATCCTTTTTTTTTTTTTTTTTTTTAAGAGACAGGAGTCTTGCCTCAAGTGACCCTCTCACCTCAGCTTCCCGCATTGGGGTTTACAAGCGTGAACCACTGTGCCTAGCACTTTGCCCATTTTTTAATCTGGTTATTTGTTTTCTTGCTATTGAATTGTTTGAGTTCCTTATGTGTTTTGGAATATTAACTCATTAGATATATGCTTTGTGAATATTTTCTCCTGTTCCATAAGTTGTGCCTTCACTCTGTTGATTGTTTTTCTGTGCAGAGCTTTTTAGTTTGATGTAGTCCCCCTTTTACATATTTTTACTTTGTTTTTTATGCTTTTGATGTCATATCCAAGAAATCATTGCCAATGCCAATGCCATAGAGCTTTCCTCCTATGCTTTTGTGTAGGGTTTTTTTTACAGTTTCAGATCTTGCATTTAAGTTTTTAATCCATTATGAGTTGATTTTTGTGTTTGACAAAGATAAGGGTCCTATTTCATTCTTTTGCATGTGGATAGTCAGTTCTCCCAACATCATTTATCAAAAAGACTATCCTTGCCCTATTATGTGCTCTTGGTGCCTTTGTTGAAGACTGGTTGTCTATATGTGTACGGGGTTTATTATTGTATATAAGTTCTACTGAGTGTTAAACTTAATGATAGTTGTAACTACATAATATGTATCAGCTAGTTTTATTTAGTTAATTCATTCATATATATCTATCCATCCATCTATCATTAATTTCTTTGTTTTAATTAAGCCAACACCTATATGGTGCCTATTTTGTGAAAGGCACTGTTCTAAGTACTTCACATAAAAATTAGCAGTTTAATTTTCATAACAATACAAGTGGTAGAAACGTAAATTGAAGCACATTAAATTGTCAGTATCCAACCAGTTTTTGACCAAGAAAAATGGCATTTTCATATAATCTCACTTAATATTGCTCCTAGTTTATAGATGGAAAATGAAGGCCAGAAAGGCTAAATAATTTGCCTTATAGTCACATGGCTATTAAGTAACAGAGCTAGTATTCAAATTCAGGTAGGTCTAGCTCCAAAATCTATGCTTTTAACTACTGTTCTGTGCTGTGTCTTGAATTTTATGTTCCAGTTGAATTAGTCGATGTTGAAACATTAGCTATTTTGGGGCCCAAAAAATCCCCACATGATATCTCAGCTTCTTTGCATTTATGATATGTCTGATACATTTGGAATCCTTCATGCCTCCTCTATCTATACATCTTATTTTAGAAGATCACCTTGTAGTGGAGGTATAAAAGGAGTTTCTTTTGACTTTAAAGGGATTCAAAAGTGACCATTCATGAGGTGAATGGATGGTTTAAAATTATCCCAATGGAATATGAATTATGAGGGAGATTTCATGAAAACCATACATGGTTTTCTGGCTTAAATTCTTTCTTTTCTCCTCTTTTCTCTTCTCTTCTCTCCCTCTCCTCCCTCTCTCCCTCTCCCTCTCCTCCCTCTCCCTCTCCTTTTTTTCTGAGGCAGAATTTTGCCATGTTACTCAAGATGGTCTCAAACTCCCAGCCTTAGGTGATCCTCCCACCTCAACCTCCTGAGTAGTCTGGATTAAATTCTTAGTTGTTGTTAACACAAAAAAACTTGGTAGGGGAATGGATTGAAAATTTCAGATTTATTCACCATAGATGTTCAGATCCTTTAAAAAAATAAATGAAACTGACTTACTGGGGAGATTATTATGCTTGACCAAGCATAAAAATCCATTTTGTACAGAACTCACATTCCTTCATGGAGATAAGGGGGGAAAACATAGAAAAATGTTCTCCATAGTGATTTGAGCATTATTATGAGTAGACTTAATGGCTTGTGTCCATGGTCAGGTAAGGAAGAACAGTTTCTCTCTCTTTTTCCCTTAAATGTTTATTTCTCTCCAGTGACATGAAAATAGAGGAGTGGAGTGAAATGACAGAGGAACGTTTGTGTGCACGCACCTGCGTGTGTACGTGTGTAAGCGTGCTCACTCCTCAGGCCTTCTGTACTAGTGAGGACTAGTGAGTTCCAAGGGTCAGACACTTAAGACTTGAATTGGTTAAAGAAAAGAAGGGATTGAAGACCAATGAAAGGAAGTCATGGTTTCAAGCGAGGGTATTTGCTGTTTAAAAAGGACCTGTGTTCTCCTCACTGGCTAGAGGAGGCCAGGAGCCCTGGAGGATGAGACTAGAGTTGGAGGGAACAGATGCCTAGGTACAGCCAATGTGCTCTGGTGATCAGAGCTGACATAGGGAAAAGGACGCCAAGAACACACTGAACTTGGGACTGAGCCCTAGACATAGAGGATGTCGAGTCACCAGGGATCTTTAAAACATGGACAACAGGGCAGGAGGAGAAATTTTGAATCCAGGAATTCAGTAAGATCAGTATCTAGTATAAAGTTTTCTTCAGAAATAATTTGCAACTTTTTTTAGTTTGGGGAAGAATTTCCAAGCTCATTTGAAAAATCCCATGTTGATTAGCTAGTAAAAATCCTGATTTTTTTGGATTCAGAGAAGCTAGTGGACTCATCCCATTGTCAGCCCATTAACATCTGCTTGTGGGCAGAGTCTGTACTTCATTTGACCTTTGATATTACCAGGACTTAGGACTGTCCACTGCATGTGATTTAACTGCTCAGAGAAAGAAAATTCCATGATTTCTCTGAATTCATGCCCTGTTCCCTGGGCATCATTCCTCTGCATGATTCTTCTCCATCATTCTGTATTCAATCAGTCTCCAAGCCTGTACATGTTACCCCGCCTCTCTGACTTCTTCCCTCTTCGTTCATTGTCGATGCCTTTGTTACCTCGTGTACGTGTTCTGGCAATAGCCTCCCTGCAGGCCTCCAGACTTCCTGTGGCAAACTGTTATTCCAGTCCATTCTTTGCCTGTTGTCATGTTAATATTTCAAAAGTAAAACTCAAATCCTCTTTGTGTCCTGCTCAAAAACTTCTAGTGCCTCCCTCTCAAAGTCTCCTATATTAATAAATTCCCTTCTGTCTTTCAGCATTAAACCTCTGTCACATGTACTCCAAGCACAGAACTGGTCACATTTTTAAAAATGTGATTATTTGATTGTCTGCCCTCCCTCATGAGACTGCAAGGTGCATGGGAGCAGCATTTGTGCTTGTTTTGCTCATTAGTGCACTCCTAGCCCCTTGCCCAGTGTACGGAAGGGATTTGCTGAATAAATGAACCTCTCCAAGCTTGCCTCTTAATCATTTCTTTCTCATACAAGATTCCAACCAACTGGATCATTTAATGTGTTCTGGATTTGCTCCACTCTCTCTCACCTTTCAGTCTCTCTTCCTATTGTCCCACTAACACAGCTACCAGTTACTGAGGCAGGATGATGATATGGTGAAAAGCCCAGGCTAAAATCCCCCAGCCTGCATTCAAATTTCAACTCGCTCCTTACTATTTATATAATCCTGGGCAAGTTTCTTAGTTCCTTGTGAATCTGTTTCCCCACCCATGAAATGGGAATCTAGTCATTCCCACCCCGTGGTGATGTGAGGATCAAATGAGCCAGGGCACAGATTGAAGGTCTCAGTACACGTCCAGTATCGGCCACTGTTGTTTTGCCACGTGCTAGGCTCTTTATAGACCTGGCTATAGTTCTCAAAGCAGCCCTGTGGGGAGAGGTACTAGTGGTTCCATTGTGGGGAGGGAGAAATAGAGGCTCAGAAAGTCTTAGTTACCTACAGCTGGAAAGGAATACAGCACGATTCTCGCCTAGATCTGCTCAGGCTGAACCTGGCTTTTTCTGCTGTCTCCATTCAGTGTATTCTCTTGCCTCATTTCTACTCCTAGAAGTTTTGCATTTATCCTTCAAAACTCCCCTCAAATGCCATCGTTTCCAAGAAGGCTTTTTCTGATTCTCTCCTGTTCTGATATCTTCCCCCTTGCATGTTGCTTTTATCTTTTGTCGTTAATGGTATAGGTAGAGCTCTGGGTTTGTGTGGTTAGCACTCCCCATGAGACCTAGGCTTGAGACAGTGCCCACCTCTCTATCGAATTCCTATAGTTCGGACATAAAAACGGTTCCCTTCTGATCCAAACGTTTTTTCCCTTTAGCAAAATGGTCCCCATCCCAATACTTAGCCTGGGTGTATGGAATATGAAACTCTTCTCTTTTGCTATCTTACTACAGAACTACAAACATGTTAAATTGAGAAACCACTTTTCATTGAGCAGAACTTGCCTCTCTTTGCCTAGGAGGGGACCCAAGGAGAAGGGAATATATACTTGGGACTTACTGTGTACCCAGCACAATATTTAGTTGTAATAATACAAAGAAGGACACTTAGACCTTGTCTTCAAGGAATTTAGTTGACTGCAGGTGCCAAGCACTGAGCTTCAATTGCTCTATTGACCTGATCTATTCGTCCCCTCCGGGATGCCAGAGACGCCGGCTGACTGTTGCCCTCCTGGATCTCTCATCCTAGGTTTTCACACCCTGCACACCATCCTTGGGGTTCACTGCCTCCCTTTGCACAACCTGCTGCATTACATCGACAGTGGATTGCTGCTTCTCACTGAAACAGCTGTCATAAGGCTCATGAAAGGTAAGCGACCCTGAGTTTGCTGGAGCGCTAGTCCCGCCTGAGCACTTCCAGGGCTGCCTTCCTGTGTGTGTGAGCTGTGTGGTCGCACAGGGCCTGGCTGCACTCAGAAGGCTCTTATGCTCAGCTTAATGCTCTGCACTAAATCTTGAAATTCTTAGTATTTGAACAAGAGCCTCATTTTCACATTGCACTGGGCCCCACAAATTACCTAGCGGGTTCTGTGAACATAGTCCATTTCCTGTAACCAAACTATGGGCCAATTTAAAGTGCCTTAGCCCTTAAGAGGCCCCGAGGGACTTCTCAGCATACACACAGGTGTTGGGTTTCTTTTCTGTGAATGAGGGCTAGGAGACTCCAGAGGACTGTTTCTCAAAAAAGTGCCATGAAACAGCTTACTTTCAGCTGACTAGCTTTGTCATCTCACAGACTTGAAATGCAAGAAAAATTAATGAGAGATAGTGTTTATGTGAATTTGAACTTTAAGGTCTGTAGTATAATCGCTTAAATTACTCAATCATGATATTTTAATACACGAGTTTTATTAATAGAGATTTTAAAGCAGTTGCCATTCCTCAAGGGTACCTTCTGTTTTAAGTTAGGCAATAAAATTGCTTTGTGCATGGCAGCGTGTTATAGAAAAAAAAAATCCCTATTTGGAGAGTCACAAACTCAAGTTTTCAAAGTGTTAGATTAGCTTGAGAATACAAGGTTGGGATATGTCTTATCAGGATGAACCACTCAAATATTAATACCTTTCTGCAGTATTAAAGTGGATATTCCCGTTTTGTTTGCCAATCTCTAACTTTCTTGTAGATCTGGACAATACAAAGAAAAATGAAAAACTGAAATTTAGCATCATTGGACGGCTTCCTCCGGTAATCCTGACTTATATTTTATTTTCTCCCTAAGCCTTGGCATGACCCTCCTTCAATTTCTTCTTGCAAGAAGAATGTTTACTTGCTTCGGGTTAAAGTCAATTAAACCGTTTCACTTTTTTAGCCCTTTCCAAGAAATCCCATCCATCTCCACCCCTGCCAGCTGTTTCCCACTGGGCCTACAAACTGCTAGCTCTTCTGGCTTTGCGCTCGCCTTGGCGCAGCCCAGTAAGAACATTCAGCCATTTTCTCCTCTTGGGAAACCACACTGATATTTACATCTGAGTCTGAGAAGGAGGGACAGGGGAAACATGTGCTTTTGGCGTTTAAACTGATAAGTTTAAATACAGGTGAGGTCGGAAGGTTCTGGAACTTCATTTCTTCCTACCGCATTTCTACTGTGGCAGGAAAACATTCCCAGGTCAAAGGAAAAATGAGAAACATGAGAGGAGGAGTTATAAAGGCACTCGTGTGTGTGTGTGTGTGTGTGTGTGTGTGTGTGTGTGTGTGTGATATTAGCTTACTGAATCAGAAATATTATGAAAATATGAAATTCCAGTGCAAGGTTGTCCGAGCCTCTGATCTGGTAAACTTCCTGACCCTGGGATCTCCAGCCAGTTCTGCCCAATGTTTACATACCTTGAGCACCTGTTACCCTGGCACTGTCCTCCCACGAAGGGCTGTCCTTGCCTTCTGGACCTAAGGTCTTGCTCTGTAGCAGCCCCTCCCCCTCAGGCTTACTGGAGCAAAGGCAGGAATAGAAAACAAAGCATATTTTCCATAGCTAGATCTCTCTGGGGGAACATCGCTGAACATTTTGTTTGATTTTTTTTTTTTTTTTTTTTTCCTGCCAGTACTCTTAGGGAATTAAAATCTGCTAGGTAAGATAATCTCGGAGAAGTTGATGTAAACATGCCTCTACACCCTTCGGTTTCCTGTCAAAACACCACTTAGAGTTGGCATGCATATCTCCAGGTTTGAAGAGTAGCAGATAAACTCCATTTCAGATAAAGAATTTGGCAACATCAATGTATAAACTGCTTTCCTTGAGGTAGCATTGAAAGGAGTATTTATTGAAAATTGAGAAGTATATCTCATAGGAACATGGCCTTTCTTCAAGGGTGCTTAACCATAAAGGGCCTGTCTTTTAGACTTACTACTTTAGAATAATACTTTTAAAATTATGAATAGATACAAGGTATGTTTAATGCAGATATAAGGTATGCTTATTTAATGAGATATGTTCTCATCCACATATTTTTCAATCTTTGCATAATAGCTTATTGGTCAGAAGATCTGCAGACTTTGGGATCATCCTATGAGTTCTAACATCATTTCCCGCAACCATGTGACACAGCTGCTGCAAAACTATAAGAAACAGGTAAGACCGTAAGACACAACCAACTAAATGTTTTTTGGATCCTGTGTGCCCATTTCAACATATCCATATGGACAGCAATTGTAGCTCTTATCACTTTATTAAAATTTGTGCTTATTTTGGAGAATTAACTTATACCAGAAGTGGTTTCCATTTTAGCCTTGGAATTCTGTGATTGACAAGTCGTCATTCAGAGTGGAATTTCTACCTCTGAACTACTTCATTGAAATTCTGACAGATATAGAATCCTCCAATCAAGGTAATTCACTCCTCTGTTCTCAGTGTTTTCCCACTTTTCTGTTGATACATCAGTTCGTTCCTATTTCACTTGTGTGAACTGTTTTCTTCCCAAGATTCTTCTTACTTACAAATAGGTCCTTCTTGCAATCGGTTTTCATTAACAATTTATACAATTTTACTACCTAGAGTGAATTACCAAAGGCCTAATCACCTTTGAAGTTTTAAAAGGGTTTAAGGGGTTTAAAGCCTGTTTCATTAATAGAAATGTTCTTTCTTGGTGTTAAAGTCTAATAAAATTTAACATGTTCTCAGAATGATATGAATAATATAAAACAATTATGATTTCAGTGAGCCATGGGGCACAAGGTTATAAATGTTCCATGGCTCCACAGCAACTCTTTCTCCCCCACCCCCATTGTTTTTCTTTTCCCCAGCTCTGTATGCTGCTCAAGGGCATGACAATGTGGACGCGGAATTTGTAGAGGAAGCGGCTCTGAAGCACACCACAATGCTTCTAGGCTTATAGAAGAGAAAATGTCATTGGATCTGCTTCTAATATTTTAATCTTGCTCGTTAACTTTACTCTTGTTGAGACTTCTTTAGCAATATTTAAAATTGGTTACAAAAATCTGAATATATTGTTGCACCATCTGAATTTTAGCTGGGTATTTGTTCAGACAGAACTAAACTGCTGTACCTCATTCCAGTTTTGAATCGCCATTGCGCAGTCAGGTGTAGAGAAATGAACAGTCCAAGGAGGCAGACAGTGGCATAGATGATGCTCTTCCTAGTGGCTTGTCTTCCTAGCTCTGGCTTAATAGGCCAAGAGCTAGTTTCTGTTGCACTGTGGCCTATGCTTTAAAAATGTAGGTAACAGTGGTTGGAGAGCAAAACATAGGTATGCAATTGAAATAACATGCAACAGTTTTATGCTTGTTATATAAGAACACTACTTGGAAAGAGGCTAACTTAAAAAAAAACAAACCAAAAAAAACCCAACTGAATTTGGACTAAATCAAATCTGCCATCTCCAGTACAGAATAATTTGTAACATACAGTAATTTGTGCTTAGTATTTAGAGTGGGGTTTGTGTTCTGTGATAGTTCAGATTAATCTGTATTTAATTTTTTATATTTATAAGTTTGATTTAGTAAAATCTTGTCATTAAAAAGAACTCTGAAAGTTTTAGCCTGACTCTTCCTGTTTTTTGAACATAGCCTTTTTTAGTTGAGCCAGGAATCAATCATAAGTCCATGAACATGTTCCTCCCGAAGCCCTTACAACACCTAACTGGTTCTACCATTTTCCTTTTTCTGTATTCTACGGTGACTTCATTGTGAACCCAGGGTTAGCTCATAACTCTTTGCTTTTCTCTCTTCACACTGAAATTGTGAAATTTTAATGATTATAAATGTCACTAGCTGGTATGATCATTCAATTTATTTTCTAAAGTCATTGTGTTGTAAAAATTGACTCAATCTTGGTGCCAGATAGGTAATGCAATGCTGATTCTTTCTCTTGATAAGGTCATTATCTTTCAATCCCTGCTTTCATTCATTTCTTTTCATACCTATATTGTTTCAGTTGCTTCCTATGGTCTAATTTATCCAACACATATTTGAGATAAACATGAGTTTGATTCTGCCACTCTGCTCATAATCCTTCAATAACTTGCCATTCATTACAGATAAAGTTCAAACTCCTCGATATACAAGGTCTCCTAAATTCCAGCCTTATACAATATGAACACTCTAGTCCAGCCAGGCCACTTCACTGGGCCTTCAACACAAGTTTTCTCTTACTTGCAAGCCTTGCTCAGGCTTTCCTCACCCTGGAATCCCTTTCATCTTTTAAAATCTTATTCATGTTCAAGGGTCAGATAAAAATTCTCATTTGACTGTGATCCAGGCCATTCCAGCACATGGTGGCACTGTACTTTTCTGAACCGGTGAGCACACGTTATAATGTGTAAGCATAAATCCCTTTGTGACTTCTAAAAATTATTTTTCTATTCTTAAGTTGTTCATACTTCCTATGCATTTTTTTGAATCCTCTATGAGGTTACTTATCCCTAAACACAGGAATGATGTTAAGTATGCAGTATTTATTTGTGTTAACCACATGGCTTATACAGTGTTACTTATCAGAGGCACTCCCAAGTAGTTGCTTTATAATGACTTCACAAAGCACTCTGGTTAGATTTAGGACTCATAGACTGAGAATGAAATTAAATTTCTCTCTAGTCTGGCAGGATGATGGGGGCTTGAAATAGATTATGTGTGATTTAGTAAAATGAAGGGATGGTGATATTTCTTACTCTAAGTTGTGACAAAATTCATAACTACTACCACTATTAAAGATTTTTTCAGCTTAATAATGAATGTAAAATCACAGCTTTCAAACCTACTCCATGAGAACCTTGTACATGAGAAAATACATCAGAATTAGGAAAGTACATTTGGGTGAAATGCAATAAAATTAGAGTAATGAAGAAAAGTGGAACTGGCCTCATTTTCAGTTCTTTCCACTCACATGCAAAGTTATGCTTTTACTGAGATTTTGAAAAATATGATATCAGAACTTTATAATAATGTGAAAAATCTGGATTTATAACAAAGATAAATTTAGGGCATAATTATTTTTGCAGCAAAGGGATTCTTGTATAAAGAATCACCATAACATTACTTTAGAAATGACAAGCCTCACTACTGCTTTCTGTGTGACTTAGATTTACCAGCATTAACTTCAAGTGCCACTTCTCTCAACAAAGTGAGTTATGCCTTTGTGATACTTGGTATATTTTTCTTTTCAAATATTCTATATCTTTAAAGTACATATATTGAACAGTATTTTTTTTTCTTTAATGAACAAAGACCACTCTGCCAGTTTCTGTACTTCATTGAAAATTTTTTATTTTTAGTGCATTTTTTATAGCATCTTGCCAACTACATATTTCTGAAATATAAGGAGTAAAAAGAAGTGAGCAATTCAAATATATTGTTTGGCTTAATTGTAAGACAATTTTATGTTCTCAACATTATGTAAAATTTAATTGGTGTAAATGGAAACCATGTTCTACTCTGATGTTAATTGTGGTTACCTTATTTATCTGTAATTTTATAACTGTTCTCACGTTTTCCAGGTGAGGGTACAAGGAAGCCTGTTTGAAGTCCTCTCCTTGAGAGGCCGGGACTGGTTCACATACTCAGATTTCAATTGGCTTTATAGCAGGCTTCCTTATGTGCCTCATATTGGCTCCAGGTTCGCTGGGCTTAAAAGGAGCCAAAGCACCATACGGTTTTGGCAGAGGAAGGGTGGCTTCTGCTTCTGGGATGTAGGCATTTGGACGCTGCTCTGCAGTCGTGTAAACTCCATTGGGCAGCTGGTGACCATCTGCTTCCAGGAACTCCTGCAAAGAATGATTTTTCCTTTTCAGTTTCCTAAAAACTCAGGTGAAATCACTTCATCTTTGAGTCCCAAAATACACAGCTGGATCTGGGCAGTCTTTGGGGATTATCAGCTGGTACAGCCAAAGGACAAAAGGGCAGGAGGGTGGCCTCACCAAACACAGGCACGCATGCGCACGTTGTATCTCATTGGAATGGGCAATACTGCTCTAGCGTCACACTGTTCCGGGGGGTTAGGGTTTCTATGAATAAAAAACTGTTGGTGGATCCTAAACGTACTATGTTCTGACCTCAATTATCTGTTATCAAGCACTGATTCTTTCCCTATTTTTGACAAAGGCAGGACAACATATTTCCTTTGGTAAGTCACTGATGAGGAAATGTTACAATAGAAGAAAGGGTTAAAGTGGAAGCAGAGAAGAAAAATGGGGGGACCAGCTTGCTTTGACTCTCAAGATCTTCAAGATTCTGTCTGTGCCTCTGAAAAATAATCTTACAGCCACAAAAATAGCATTACCTAATGGAGACAGGTAAATGACAGTGGGACACCACAGGTAAAATCTGAATGCCCTAAAATGTATAGTCTCAAATGGTATGGAAGTTACAAACCCTGTGCTGGGGTATTCCGAGTATATGTGTGGAATACAACTTTTTCTTGGGTCAAGGAGTGAATGGTGGTCCTTTTGGTGACATCCCTTGACAATCTAAGAGTGAGCTATACATCCCCAGGAGGCAGTCCCCTTGGAAAGAGATGCCTAATTGCATTCTAAGAATATTGAAAGGTCGTGGGGGGTAGACAAGAACTGGGTATCCAACTTGCAGGTGGAGCCAGGAACAGACCCTGACTTAGGCCAGTGGTGGGAGAAGAGGTGGCAGGGAGGCCCGTGCTGTGCCCAGTTAAGCATCTGCAGGAGGCTGTGGCAATCACCGTATGGCTGCAGGCCTCAGTGTGTTGTGGGGGCCACAGGACAGGGGCATGGAAGAGTCGGGTGTGGTCTGAGCAGGGGTGCGGAGACAGAGGTTGGAGACCTGTGCCAGCCTGGGCATTGCTATGCTGGGGGAAGTCCCGGACATGAGGCTGGGGGGTGGGCCTTGATACTTTCCAAGTGTCCTTCAGGGAGGATTATGGCACTTTGGACTGCTGAACTTATCTACATAACATCATAAAAAAAGAAACTTATAACGACTATTGGTACCGTGTGTGTGGTAGAGCGGGAAATTGTTCATATGTTGTGGGAAGAATGATCACCTGAAAGCAGCCTCTCCTAGCACAAATGCAAAACAGGAGTCAAAGCTTACCCGAGTCTTCTCAGCATAGGCCAAGGCACACATTTCTTCATCTCGAAGTGTCTTCAACCATTCTTTCTCAATCTCCTTATTGAGTGGCAGACCCTTCTCCATCCTGTCATGGCAAGAGACGATGAATTCTTCTTTCTCCTTGACTTCCTTCTGGAGTTCAATGGTCATGGCTTGTTTCATGGACAGCTCAGCAATGAGAGCCATCATTTTTTCAGTAGTATCTTTGATCCTTTTCTGATAGCCGTTCATCTAGAATTAAAAAGCCCAGGGCTTAGACTGTATACATGCCATCAAGACTTGAAGGAAATGGCAGGCTGCTGATTGTCTATAATTGTGGGAGGCATTCTTGCCTGAAGGAAGGGCAGTCTAACTGGGACTTCATAGAAATTAAGAACTGGAAGAGACCTCAGATTGAGCCCAACACCCTGGTGTATAAATAAGGATGAGGATGGAAAAGAAAATGATTTGTTATCTAATTACTGGATTTGAATAGCACCGAGGGGAATAGTTTAATGTTTATTTTTTTTAAGAGGTGAGGAGGGAGGAAAGAGTGTTCTTGATACCTGAGTTCTGACCTAATTTTGCCATGTTATTAGTTTGTCACTTATTCAGGTGAAAAAAATCTGGTTAAAACAAAAGTTACTCTTTGCTTATACAAGATAATTAGCAAAGGTCTTGATTTGAAATGATTTTTTTAATGAAAACTATCCCCTCAGTGTTAGCATTATTGATCATAATTCCTGGGACGCATCCTTATTAGGTCAGAAGCAAACATGAGCTGAGCAGGGGACAGTTTGGTCAATAATTTGGGATGGGAGATGTTTCTGTTTTGTTTTTAAACTTTTCATATCAGCTATTTAGCATCAATAGAATTAAACAGGACTAACTGAAAGAAATAATTTCAAGACATAGGAAAGAAGTAAAACTGGAACTGGTGGTTCCTGGAAGCTTCTTGCGTGCAGAAGGTGAACCTTTTAGTGTGGCCATAGCCATGGTGGGGCAGCTGAGTGGTGACGCCTACCCGACAACACTCACTAGAGTTCCTCTTACTTTGCTTTCTTGCTTTCATCGTACCACGTCTCTACACTGACGTTATATATGTATTTGGGTACAGTCTGTCATCCTATAAGAATGTACTCTTCACGAGGACTGTTTTATCATCATAGTTCCATTATTCAGGGCAGTGCCTGGAGTGTAAGAGGCACCAAACAAAAGTAAAACTATTTTCCAAATGAATGAATTCTTAGTCTATTTTATTCAGTTTTTTGGATCGGGATAAACTGGGACATGAAAATGAACTTCCAAATGCTACACCTAAACTTGAACACCTTCCTCTCCTAATAGAACAACATACACTCATATGTGCACATGTGCTCAGAGAAATATTGCTGCTAGTCCTTTCCCTGCATCTGAAAATAACTAATTTTTATATATAAACTTTGTCTCCCTAAGGATGTAAGGAATATGAATTTTTATGACTCT